AATTATTTCATTATCGACTAGCTAATTTAGAAGCCATGCTTTTCTCTTCAGAACCATTAACGGAGACGACTCTGCAAGAAGGTAAACTTGCATGAAATTAGTTACTTTTATTGTTAGTTAATTAGCCATTAATGCTAATTAACATCGACTATTTACGAATAATTTTGTCAGGCTTATATCGTGTATATGGGCGAGACTCTGGAGATGGACGGGTTTTCCTTAAAGTTGGTTCATAAAAGTTTGCTCCATAAAGTAATTGCAAGGTAATTACTTTTCTAAGTATATATTTCAGAACCATTCATATAAAATTTATTTTTTCTAATTAATTCTCGTAATAGGAATTTGGAGATCATGATTCCCTTTGCCTTGTTAAAATGCATATTTCTCCATACGTACTTGGGTAATTTCAATAAATCCATCTACATTTTGCTTGCCAATTTCAATATCTCAAAATTAAAACATATATTATGGTTCTTGAATTGTAACTTCGACGCTTTCACACACTGACGGTCCCATTGCGAGCTTCACATGTTGTTGCGCTCAAATGTGCATGAAGGCGTGATTTATGTTAGTTTTAATAAAAATTACATACAAATGATCTTGTTTCTCTCTTACTAAATAATTTTTTTCATAAACCTAATGACCTTGTTTAACAGATGTTGTGAATTTGCAAAAGATTCTCCAACATGTTCTTTAAATTTAGACTTCTAAACTATATGGTGCTTTGCAAGTTTAGAAGAGGACGATTCAATTGTTTACTTAAGAAGGGGATTCTTGATTTTTTAGTTAAACCTTGGGCTAAATTATGCTCCCAAGTCTTTTGGTTCTTGGTTACACCAAAAGGAGAGGACTCCAAAATTAGATAAATGGTTGAGAATTGCAAAATATTCCTTTACTTATTTAAACTTTGAAGTTTTATATTAGTTTTTCTTTTTCTTGTTTAATTCCCTCAAAACCCTTGTTTTTTTTCTACTATAATTTAAGATGAATATAAATATAATACTAGCAAGCTCCCTGCATATGCATGGGAATACATAGATACATACATATACATAGATACATACATATATACATACATATATATATATATATATACATATATAAAAACTTAATTCCGGATTAACACGCAGCAGCACGTGGCTACGCCAGGTGGAAGGCGGCGGTCATTCAGGTGTCAAACGCGGGCAGTGTCACGCATTTTCTACTTAAACACGTCAGCGCCACGCCGCAGCCGTCGGATCTGGGAGGATTTGATCGAACGACACAATCCCGCGGTTCTAGATGGAGGGTCCAGATGCCACCGGACCAAAAACCGAATGCCAAAATAGATACACGGTCGAATGTGGGCACCGAAAGGCTCGATCTGGACCGTTGATCGAGCAATCAACGGTCCAGAAAACGTACACTCGCCGGAGACTACGAGTGATGCCCTAGGATCCATTTTTTGCTTGTTCGTTCGATACAGTGGACGAAATACTTTGAAATTTTAAACTTAAATAAAACCAGTGAACATAATCTTTGGGGTATATTTTACTTGGCTTAATACGAGCTTTACAAAAAGCTATTTAGACTAGTGTACCTAGATCTAGGGTTTCAATTTTCACCTTGATTTTCAGACGGTTTGAACCGCTTTTGGATACTCTGAACTTGTAGACTATCCACGATTAAGTTCCCAATTGAATCCAAGCTCCGACACGCCACGGATCGCCTGGAATAATCCTTGGATGGATTTGGGCTTGAGCTTGTCGGAATCTCGCCTGGAACCGCTTTGACCGCCGGGGTTTGAGTGGTGAAATGAGAGGGAGACTCAAGAGAACTCAAAAGAGCAGAGAGTTCGATTAGAGGAGCTCTAGATGGTGAGAGAGTGTTAGGGTTGCAATGAGGCTCGTTAGGGCATTTTTTTTCCTCATTCAAACGTCCCTAAGTAATTTGGACTGCTAGGATCGACTCGCCAGCTCCCCAAATAATGTCACATGTCCCTGGAACAGTTGGAAGGCTGCCTCAAAGGCTGGACAAGCCTTGCTCCTATTGGGTGGACTTGGGATAATTGGGGGGACCATTGCCTAAATTGCTTAAGCCAGCCATTTGGTGCAGCTTAATCAGAGCTTAATCAGAGAAATAAAGCTAAAAAGGTGGGTTAGGCATGTGATATAGGAAGGGAGAGGGATTTTATAGGGCTTGACCATGAAAAGGGATTTTAAGAATGCTTTGACTCCCTTGACCTGTCCACTGGTCAATGAGTGATGAGGTGGCATAGGAGGAGCAGGAGCAGCAAATGGGAGAGCCCCCAAGCCTAAGGGAGAAGTGTTTGAGGTCAAAAGATAGGATTTGACCATCTCAACGAAGGATTTAAGGCTTTGTTGACTTGGTTTGACCAGTCAACTAGGTCAAAATTGATGATATGGCATTTGGGGAGGTAAAGGGTCATTCAAGGTGGCTTGGTCAAGGGTCAAGGATAAAAGTCAGGGCTTAGAATAAATGGGAGCAAATGTCATTAAAATTTGACCAAGAATTGAGGGTTGACTTGGTCAACTCAAGTTGGGTTGAGTTGACCAAATGTCAAGTGGCACTTGAGTCTTATCCAAAAATTGATTTGAAGGGGCAATAAGGGCTGAAGAGCTCAAACGGGTCAACCCCCTTAAGAGCTAATGGGTCAACCAAGTTGACCTGAAAGGTGAATCTGGGCTGGACAGGTTTAAAATGATATTTGGAGACCATTGGAAGTAGTCCCCAGGTCTAGGGAGGTCAATTCAGTCAAAATGCTTATTTTGACCTTTAAGGGCCTGTTTGGTCAACCTAGGTTGACTTGGTCAACCAGGTTGGCTCAGGGTTTTGGTTTAGGTCCAACAGGTTGGGTTTGATATTTGAAACTTGCTGGAAGTGGTTCCAAGCAATTTGGAGTTCATTTGGGCTGAAATGGGTATTTGAGTCCCATAGGGGTATTTTGGTCATTTTGACCCCCTGGTCAACTAGGGGTCGAAATGGGTTTAGCAAAATGCAGTTTACTGCTCAATGGGTCAAGATCAAAGGTTTGAAAGTGATTGGAGGCTTTGTAAAAGTTTCAAGGTCAAAATCCACTAGGCAAAAGGTTCAGTGGCACATACTGTAAATATTTGAAGGTTTTACAGCCTTCGGATTTCAGTCAAGTTTTTGGGGTTATAGAACTCAGAATGGGCTCAAATTTAGAAGGTTGACATTATGATAGACCTTGAATCAGATGCCAATTGGCTGGGTTTCAAGGTGATTGAAAAATCACCTAGAAGGGGCTTTAGGACCTAAGCCTTTAGCCTAAGGATTCTGGGTTTGGATTGAGTTTAAAATATGGACTGGACCTAAAGGCTAGGAACTAGGAAGATCCTAGGGTCTAGAGCTCAGGAAGGAGTTAAAAGTGACCTCATACAAAAATGAAGTCAACAACACCCCGATGATGACAGTATTGAATGTTTATCTCAACCGATGGTGAGAACAACCATTCAAAATACCGCTAAACGTCCATAAATTTCAAAAGTATTGAAATTCAGATATTTAAAATTAAAATAAAATTATTAAACACTTAAAGCAAACACCTATCCACCCTCTGCAAAAGTTTTACCGAGGTGGACAATTTTGAAAACTATTTTAGCTCACAAAGAGCTAATGTTTAGTTGAGAATATCAATAGTATTCATTCTCAAACTATCTCTTGTTAGTAAGGACGTGACATGTGTCCTCTAACTGGTAGTTTCACCTTCAAATGGAACCAATCCTATGACTTCATTGTTAAATGGAAACGCAGGTAAATGGTTATGATCGGGACCCTTTACACTGGGTGGTTTGCCGCCGAAAGGCACCACTATATTACGATCATAGTTAGCACTTGTATGCTCCCCAATGACGTCAAATTATTGAGTAAAGAATTAATAGGATATAATCGGTAGGGCACAATGCCCTCTATCAGCTAAGGAGGATTCAAATTTGTCCTCTTAGACAAACATTCACCCCAGGTCTATAAGGTACCCTTGGACGACACAACCCATGGCTATTGACAAGGATCCTTCTATCAGGTTGGGTCAACTACCTCTTTTGACTAAGTAGATCAGGGACCAGAATGGCCAGAGAATATGGAACCATGTGATCTTGATTGGGGTCATCATCCACTACAAGTATAAGATGGTGAAATTTTTAATTTTTAAATATCAAGCTTTCAAACATCCAAACCAAAGCCCATGCTATTACTATATGATGAATATCTTGTATCCACGGATATAATGTATTCACCGATGACTAGCCTTAATCGAAAGTTCTCTCTCGTGATTGGGAGGGGTAATTAACTATAGGGGCTTGCGCCTATAAGAAACTAGAACTGAGATCATAAAGTCCTCGCAAAATGAGGGCAAAATCTCTGGTGTGTCTTATCTACAATCATAATATGCCTTTCCAAAATTTCCCCCGGAACTTAATCCGTTAAAACTCCCCCTGAAAGCAAAAAGTAATAGCAGCAATCGGCACTGGGAGATGGGGCACAAATTTTTGGAGCCCACATCATTACATCCAAAAGCATGGCCATGGTAATTGGAGAGCACTTCCTAAGCTTGTTGGTATCGTCTTCTTCCTCCCTTTCTCTTTAAAATATCAATCATTTTGTATGAATATGAGCATTGATAAAGAAGTCATGTTATTGCTGACTTACAAGATTTAATAGATGTGGGAAGAGCTATAGGTTAAGATGGACCAACTACTTGAGGCCATATATCAAGAGGGGCAAGTTTTCGTCTGAAGAGGTACAAACCATCCTCAACCTTCACCTCTATCCTTGGCAACAAGTAACTAATCTTTTCCACGCATAGCCTTTCTTTTATTATTTGTAGATATATATTAAACATGATTAGAACATGATGATTTCTTTTTTTATTCATTTTCTATGTAATAATGATAATATAATTAAAATATATAATATGAATTTTTATTTTTAAAATTTTAATCACATGTATTTAATTTAATGTACGAATATTTTTATTAGTATATATAAAGGGGCCATCAAATAATACATAAATAAAATTGAGTACATCCATCAAGTTATACAAACTGGTTCACGCGGAGATTACATTCTTCAAGGAAATTTTCATAAAAGTACTTGTACCTATTATCCAGCACGAATATCCATATGAGGAATGTGAGCAATCTTGTGCCTATCGGAGCCTCCATCCTCTCGATAGCGCTCCTTAAACTCTGGATGACATTCCCCACAAATTATTGATAGAAATTCTAAATTGGGAGGAAGGTTCGGTAATTCCCGAAGCATAGGAACTTCAAAAATACATAGGCTCTGAAGTGAAGATAAGCCTTCCAAGGAGGAAGGGAGAGACTCTAAGGATTTCAGAAATAGGAATTCCAGCTCACAAAGAGATGACCCATCTTTCAGAAACAACTGCTCCGCCTCATTTGGAAATGAACCCATCTCATCATTATTCTCAATAGTCAGCTTTTTTAAGGAGGCGATACTTCTCAATGGCTCCATTAGCAACACCAATGGATCACTTATGCTAAGATCGCTGAGCATGAGATGGCAATTATTACTGGTTTGCATTTCTCCGAGAGAGATCAGATTGGGGCACTCTTCAATTTTCAACTTTCTTAGTGCTGCAAGTCTTGCAATTTCATCAGCCAGAGGAAGAGATATAATGTTTGGACATTCAGCGACATATAATGTTTCAAGGGGAATAGGATTTGAATTGCTACGAAAATTCAAAGTCGTCCACTCCATATTGTTATGTATCGTCAAGCTCTTGAGCTCAGAAGGCAAAGAGGGCAACTCTTTCAACTTCGGGCAGTTATACAGCACCAGATCAGTTAAGCAAGGAAACAAACATCCGTCTTCAGCAGCTACTCCTGCCTCAAACCAATCCTCTAATGCTTCTAATCCGTAAATATATAACTCCTCTAGCAATGGAAAAGCACGGTATTTATCATTCCCATTAAATTTACTTTCAAGCCATTTTACTTTCGGCATGCCAGAAAGTTTCAGTGACTTGAGGAAGGGAAGTTGGCCGAAAGGAGGAAGAGTTTCCCACTCCAAGCAATCTCGCAATTCAATTTTCTCTAGATTGAAGATCGAATTGACATTGTTCATCCATTTTGCAGACCTTGCACCCCTGTAACTCCATACGCTCAAATTCCTTAGACCTTTTGGTGGCTGAAGCTTGTCGAGCACGTACTCATCTAAATTGATGTTCCTCGAATCAGTGTCACTCCAACGTAAGTCCAAATTTGTGAGCCTCCTCTTTTCACATAATTTGGCACTACAAGCCTCCTCAGCATCCTTAACATTTTGAAGGCAATTTATTCCTAATTTGCAAAGATCATTCATATTCTCCAGCTCCCCAATTCTATAACCACTCACATCTCTAACTTCAAACATATTCAGTTCTTGAAGAAACTTTAGCTTCCCAATCCCACATATCACAAAATAAGAACCCACGGGCAATTCCAGGTAACGCAAGTTAGAAAGGTTATTAATTTCACTTGATAAGAAATCATGATCTTCAGGTTGGATTAGTAGCCCTGGGCCACCATAAATTATGTATAGCAAGTGATAGAGATTACTTAGAGATCTTGGAAGCCTATTGAAACGAAATGATTTAACTCTTTCTATCTTCAAATATCGAAGATATTTCAAATATATAATCTCCTCAGGTATCATTTCCAATTTATGATCAGTACGTATGTATAATAAGCGCATGCATCTTGATGCTTTGAATATTTCAGTAAGTGCACTGCCAAGATCCTGATTAGAATCTTCGTAGAACAAGAAAAGAGAATGCAAATGTTTAAACTTCTCAATCTTTCTTAAGATGTCTAGATTTGTAGTTTGAACAGACAAGTGTCGAATAGTCTCAGAAATCTGATTGAGAGGTGACTCTTTATCAACCACAAGTTTACCGCATTTTTGTGCAAATAATTTAGATGCTGACTCATGAATTAAATTATGCATCTTGTAGTCATCTCCGACCTTGTCAATTAAATTTTTTTTTACTAAAACATTAAAATACCTTTCTCCGATATCCTCCATAATAGTTCCTTGAAATGGCTGAATGAAACCCAATGCAATCCACATTCGGACTATATCATCTTTATAATACGTATGATCTTGTGGGAACATACAACAAAATGCAAAACAATTTTGTAGATGATTTGGCAGAACTATATAGCTCAGTCTTAAGATGGAATTGATGGAATTCTGATCCAATAAATCGCTTTCTAGAACTGTCCTCCAATGCCTTTCATCCAAGTTGTTCTTCAGAACACCACCAATGACTTTAGCAGCCAATGGAGATCCTAAAAGCTTTTTAACTATCTCTTCGGCAATGGCTCTTAATTTTTTATAATCATCAGGGGGATTCTCTACACCAGCAAATGCATGAGAGTTGAGGAGCTGCAAACACTCATCTTCATCTAGGCCCTCTAATTTAACTTTTTCCACCTCCTTTTGGATTACCTCTGCAAAAATCAGTGCTACCGAGTCCGTTCGAGTTGTTACCAGAATCTTACTACCAAAACCCCCAGAAACTACAGGGGCGAGCACATCTTCCCATTTGCTTTTATCCTTCTCCTCATCCTTCACCCAAATATCATCCAGCACAAGCAAGAACTTTTTGGACATCAGCTCCTCCTTAAGAACCCCTTGAAGTGGTCCAAGTGTCTCCAAACGAGGCCTCTCCTTCTTAAGACATTCCAACATATCTGCAATGACTTTTTTAGCATCAAAGTTGTTGGAAACACAAACCCACATTTTAAGATCAAATTGTTTTGTCATTTCATCTTCATAAACATGCTGCAAGAGAGTTGTCTTTCCCATACCACCATGTCCCACGATAGATAGAATAGAAATGTTTCTGTACCAAGTTGTCCGAGACTCATTTGATGGCTTCCTCAACCACTGCATAACAAACTCCTTATGCTTGAGCCGCCCGATGAGATCATTTTTAGGCAAATATCCTGTTTCACGTGTTCTGTAGAAATCAACCTCCTGCTCCTGTTCCTGCTTCGAGCCTTCAAAAAGTTTAAGGAAATTAGTAACATAAGCCGAAACTTCATCAAGTTTCTGCACAGCCTCCTCCAGTCGCTTGAAGTTGGGATCTCTTTTGATAACTCGGTTGCCAATTTTGACGAGTTTTTTCTTCATGGATTTCATGATGGAACGCACCCTTCTCAGCTTCTTGTTTTTGGCCAGCTGTTTTTCAAGTTCCATGTACTCCAGCTCATCAACCACGTCATCTGCATCATCAATGGCATCTTGTAGCTGCCATAGCCATTCTTTAAGAGCCGGATATTTCTCTGTGATCTGCTCTTGGCTGGAAGCAAAGTGGACGACAGCTTGGATCTTGGGGTACTTCTCTCGCAGCCTTCGCAGCTCCTCCTTCGTGCGTCTCTTCCATCTGACTTGATCTTCCACGTAACGGAAGCAAAAGCTGATGATCTTCTCCATAATTGGATCAAGAGACATTTCCGCCATGGCAACGACGATCGATGTAGGGCAGAACAACTGAACAGTAAGAAAAAAGGGAGAGTGGAAGAGATGAAGATTAGATAGTCTACGGGCTCACGAGGATATCCTGGTTAAGCTAAGGGAAATCCTTACATCCTTCATCTCAACCGTTTCTTCAAAATCCAACGGCTTACAGGAGACATCAACAACGCCAATGAATTCCAGCTGGAAATGGTCAATTGTGGCGTCGCATAAACGATAAAACTTAAGGTCAAGTCAAGCAAATGCACACTAAGGTTTCATTCGGACAGTTTTGTGGAAAAAAAAATCATTTAAAAAAAATTCTTATACTGAAAACATTATTTAAAAAAATAGTGAAAACGCTGTGTTAAATAAAGCTTAAACTGTCGAATAATCATTAGTTAACTACTTTCTAAATCAGTCTTTAATTTTTTTTTTTTGAAAAAAAAAAATATTTTATTAAAAAATCATTATAGAAAACCTAATTTTTTTGAAATTGCCATGGATTTAAAACATTTTGTTTGCTTTCTCATTGCTTAGTTTTTTAAATGAGAGTTGCATTGTGGTGGTAATGAGGAGTTATTATGAATGCAAATTAAGTCATTAAATCTACGCTCTTCTAAGATTATAAGAGAATAATATGCCTACATATCATATTATGATTGATTACTAGGTTTAAGTAAGGAGTAGGGATCACGCAAAAAAAAAAAAAATTCTCCAAACTATTAATTGAATTTCATCAGCTTGATGACATTAATGTCCAAAGGACGCCACATGAAGAAGACAGTTCTCTGCCATCTGTCACTTAGGCTTCGTTTGGGACGGCTTTTTTATTGCTTTTGAAGATAGAATTTTAGTACAAAAATTAAAAAATTTGTACTACAACTCTGTTTTAAAAAGCAATAAAAAAGCCGTCACATGCACAAAAGGTATCTTGTCTGCCACTTAGTAATGTAGAGCACATGCTATTCTCTTAAATTTATTTTATTTTAATGTCATCAATGCATTTGACTTTAATGACATTAATTAGGACTATTCAATTCATTCATTTGTAGAAGATATCTTATAAGAAAAAAAAAATTACATTAAGCATAATATCATAAATGTCTTTTTTATACTATAATGCTCAATTTCATTGCTGAACAGAGGTGCCGAAAATTGACACGACTCGAAAATTCGACTCAAATTTAATCCAAAATTTTCAAGTTCACATCTACTCGTTTTAAGAACGGGTCGGATTTAGGTCTTGTTTTTCGACCCATTTTGAATTCCTGGTCGGGTTTGGGTCAACCCGAAAACCCGTTTTGTCGTCTCACACACAAACAATTATTTATTTTTCTTTCACGTGTTTTCCACTATCTCATTCCACTCATCTAACCGTCTCCCGCATGACCGCGCCAATTGATGCGCAATCGCCGCATTTCTCTTCTTTAGACCACACCGCTCACTGCTTCTTTCCTCTCTAACCTGTCAAAACTACCTCACTCTCAAAGCTCTCTCTTTTTAACCAAGCAGCTAGCCATGGTCTTTGTCGCGTTACTCGCGTGAATAGGACTTGCGGCGACTGACTTACGGGTCGGGTCGGGTTGACTCAAACCCGAAGCATGTCTGGTTAGGGTCCGAAGAACTGACCTGTTTTCAAAAATGGGTCGTTTTCAGGTTGAGTTGAAAAGTGCCGGGTCAATTCCGGGTTAGACCCGAACCCGGCCTGTGACCCGATTTTGACAGCCTTATTAGTGAAGACGAAGTAAATTTTATGATGAGACTTTTATGATAAAATTATTTTTTATTAAAAAATAATAATAATTTTGTCTTAATAAAATTTTATCAAGCACCTTATATATGTTATAGATATGCACCTTTTCAATATTTCATAAAAATTTTCCTGGATGGTTTTAAATTTTGTGGTTTTTATTAAATAGGCAATAATTCAGACTATGAAAAATAATGGCATAATATGATTAAAGTCTTAAAATAATATTTTACATAGTCCCTAGTAATTTAATTATATTCTATAAATGTGAATTTTCGATTTTTGTTGACTACAATTGAGATATTTTTATAATTTCTGAATTGAGTTTTGATTATATTCTATTTAATGATACATCAAAATATGTGTACAATGCTGAACAAAATGCGAATGTGATGAGAGTTATTTTCAAGAGAGTGTGGGCCTGCTCATTTGGCTGACAAGATTGTAGTTGGGTGACAATAGTTAGAGGGACCATAGATCGTAGTCGATATACGACGGTGGTTGGAGTTAGTTTGCGGGTGATAGTGGTTGGACAGACCTTAGTTGGCGGGCGACAGTCATCGTACGGACCTTAGTCAGCAAATGATGGTTGTCGGAGGGACTGTGGTTGGTGAGCAATAATGTTCAAATGAGCTGTAGTCGAGCAGGTGACGATATTCTGAGGGACCGTAGTCAGTAGGCAATGGTGGTTGAAGGGATAGCGGTTGACAAGCAACGAATGTCAGAAGAGTCATGGTCGGCGGGCGATGGAAGTCGCAGGGACTGCAGTCAGCGGGCGAAGGGGATCAGAAGGACCGTCATTAAGAGGTGACAGAGGTTGGAGGGGTGTATCGATGGCAGCCGAGCGGAGGAGGTCCAACGATGGTATGTCGCAGACGAAGGTTTGGCAGTGATCGGTGGCCTAGTGGAAGTCTGACAACGGTAAGCAATCAGGTGGTTGTCTGACGACGGTCGGGCATAAGTCTAGTTGTGATCGGTGGCCAAGTGGACGTCAGGTGATAGTCGGTGGCTGGGTGGGGGTCTGACGATGGTCAAACGAAAGTCTGGCACCGGTTGACAGTCGAGTAGATCTCTGGCAATGGGCGACAACCAATTGGATGTCTAGCGACGTCCAGTGGCTGGGTGGTGGTTCGATGATCGTCAGGCAGTGTTTCGATGATGACCTGGAGGTGGTACGATGATGGTCGGGCGGTTGTTCAGCGAAGGTTGGCGGTCGAGCGATGGTTTTCCAATGGTCGAAGGAGGTTCTCCGGCGGTGGTTCCTGGGTGGAGCTCTAGATCCATGAAGACTTAGAGCTCTCTCCAATCTCCAACTAAAGGTCTAGGCTCCAAGCCCCCTTTCATGTGGGATATGGGGGTCTATTTATAGATTTTTAAGAGTGGCATGCCCCATAAATATAATGATAATCAATGACAAAATCGGAGTGTTTAATCGAATGGATCATATTGATCTCCTTGATCATAGAACATTTGTTAAACATTTATGTTTCCAAATGATGTCAGAATTAAGTGATCTTAGACTTGTTGGATTCGCCTTGTCAAACTGCTCGATTCAATTATAAGCATGCTATATTTGGATATCATTTGGTCATCCAATTTATACATTGAAACTTCCAAATAAGTTTTGTCCCTTGAGTTGGACCCATTTGGGCTCGGATTGAACTAATTTTGGTGTTATTGGATTTGTGCCGTTGAGATGTTCAATTTGACTATATGTTTGTTGAAATTTGTGTTTGGATGATCGCAAATTTAATTTTGGAAGTTGTCGTGCCTAATCAAGATGATTTTTTGGTGCCACATTAGTTTCCTCGCTATTTTCGGACGTTAAAGCTCAAATCATCCGAAAATATATGTCTTTGTCTTGCAAACCAAAAGGTTGGAGTGTGCTCTCCAAGACACTTTAGTGTATGTAAGACTCCCGTTAGAAGAAACAAGACGTGCACCGATAACTTCACCAATTAGAGATGTCGAATTTGGTGCTCTAACTTCTTCCTATAATCATGTAAGTTCATAGACCTTTGAACAAACTACTGGACATTTATCAGATAAATAGGAGATAGATCCTGTCATATTGATGCTCTGACTGATTCTAAAGTTTCATTAACCTTTTTTTCATCAATTATATGGAAAATAATCATCAAACAAATCTGATTTATCCTCCAAAAATATTGCAACTTTGGCATACAAAATAGTTATCATTTTAAACTTCAAAAGCTCTAAAATGCATAAAAAATGAGATTATGAAGATTATAAATTTGATTTGGAAAAGGAGGCCAACAAAGCAAAGAATTGCCTACTGCTAACATTATGGGTCATGATAATGAGTCCTTGTGCTTCATTAGTGATTTTTTTCTTAACATATTCAAATCGATATTTTGGATGAGTTTGATTCCCCTAAGTATAAAACATCATCACAATTAAGTTGTTTTTTATTTGGCAACCACAAGCTCAAGCCTTCAACGTAACATCAAGCAAGTAAATATAAATATTAATAATAATAATAAAGCTTTATTGAATATTTTTCTTCTTTTGCTGGCAAGCTTCCCTAACTTCTAATGAATTAGTGACATTAAAGTTCAAAGGACGTCACATGCAGAAAGGCAAAGTTGTCTGCCACTTAATATTCTTGCGAGAGGTAGTGGATGGCAGATGCGATAGCTCACCAGGAGCTAGTTCATAGGGCAGTGGCTCCCAGGCAGCGGAGACCACGACCGGTCGCAGCAGTACCCACCCCAGAGGTGATAGTAGCTCCTGAGATAAAGGCGATCCAGGAAGGACGCTTCTCTCCACTGACACGCAGTAGGGATGAGGAGGACGTTGCCCACATTGCGGCGGCTCCTCCTGATACCACTACTTTTCCCCGGGCTAGGGTCCCCAAGGAAGCTGGTGTTTGAACCCTCACTCAGAGGATTCGATACATCGTCTGCCTAGCTCGTGGTAGAGGGCCTGTCAGTCGGGAGAGGTTACTCCGACAAATTTCTCAGGCTACTTTTCAGCTACGGAGACAGACTGTGATGAGGCTTTACAGTTGACAGAGAAGACAGACACCTCAGCAGCTAGCAAATATAGTTCCAGTGGTTAGATTGCCGGTAGTTACTCCTGTTGTCGGACGACGCCCACGTCGCCGCAGACAGAGACAGCAGCAGGAGCCCGCTTGGCTGCAGATCAGTTCAGTTGTGGTAGCCCTTCAGCTGCCGGCTACCCATACCGAGCCCCGCCGCGGTAGGCGAGTTTGGAGACGACGACAGGCAAATACCCCTGTCGAGTCAGTTCAGTTAGTAGAGGCAGTACGACCCGTTGAGGCAGTACAGTCAGTTGAGATAGCGCAGTTGGCAGAGGTAGTTCAGACAGCAGATGCAGTAGATCAGATGGATGTAGCAGTTCCTTCAGGGTCCGAGGCGGTCCCGATGACTTGTGATGAGAATGTAGTAGCTACTCCTGATAGATCATCAGACCGAGTTGAGACACCTTTAGTTCCCAGCACTCATAGGATCACTTCCCCTATGAGTCCCTACATAAAGGCACTCCGTCGAGCCTTTTTAGAGGATGATACACTAGGAGCTGATTCAGAGGAGGACATACCAGTACACCAGGTCTGTGAGACTATCCGTCGAGGTCACTCAGGTGAGCAGAGAGAGCCCGAGGACCAGGATGAGCAGGGAGACCCCGAGGCAGGAGGATCTCCGAGATCAGTAGCTACGGACGCCAAAGTCATGCACTTACAGACTCAGATGGCCACCGGGAAGATCCATCTCCAGAACAGTGATTCGATACTGTCACGACCCGACCCGACGGGGACGGATCCCGCCCGAGCCGGACCGCGACAAAACCTTCTTATCCAGGATCTGGCTTTGGAATTGGTTTCTGAATTGAATCTTCCAAATATTTAAACTCAACAGACACACAACCACAGAACAACAGAGCTACTATAAATCACCAAAATTTTCTACAGTGCCGATCGGCCTGGACGATGTCCAAATCGGCCTGTACGATATGTACAGAAAATCACCTGGAGCAAAACTGGGCAAATTCTGGAGCAAAATTACAACTGATCGTCCAAGGACGATCCAGATCGTCCTGGATGATCCTGGAGCAGATTTTTTGATATTACAAATACAGCCTTTAGACAAGGCTACCCAGACAGTTCAGATGATCTCTAGTCCCAGCCACAGTCCTAGCCACAGTTCCAGCCGCAGTGACAGTTAGAGTTACAATCAGGGCAGTAGTGGCAGATCACTCCACAGTTCTGAAGGAGAGTGGTAGCTAGCACTCTCCGATAAGACCTAGCAGATGATTAAGTAAGCTGTACAGAGTTCATAGGCAGTTGAGAGGAGGTCTCTCAAGGCCAAGTCAACAGTTGTCACTCTAGCTTCTTTGTTAACACTTGTCTTTTTTTCCTTTCTTCTGTTGTAGTATCATTTTGAAACTACTGGCTAATCCCGATGCAATTCATTTCTAGCTCAAATTAAGACAAAAATACAAAAAAAAAATCACATTATTAAAAAAATTTAAGCAAAATTGATTGCACTAAACTTAAAGTAATAATCCATCCACCATCAACATCAGTTTGTCGAATGTGAGAAGTTTAAGATAAATTTAAGCTCACAATGAACCAATACCCCATTGAGTAATGCTATGATCAATCTATAAAAGATATCACACTAGTAAGGATGTGACGCATATACTTTAACCTATTGATTTTATCACCAAATGGTGTTGCTAGATAACTGTTGTGACTAAGTCTCTTTGATCAGGTGGTTTCACTACAAAATGAATCGATTATATTACAGTTACTAGGGCTGAACTGAGCCAAGCCGCGCAATTGCTAGGTATTTTCCCAACTGTGCATAAATTGCTCCTCTACCATTTTATTTATTTTTTCTTCCTTTTTTGGCAATGAAATTGAATTTGGCCAACATTTTGGTATCAGAACTAGTCTTTGATCCTCAATTGGGCATTTGGGAATTTTGAAGTTGAAAAGAAAAGAAAATAATAGTTGTTGCGTGCTAAAAAATTTATAATTATATAGAGAGTGTGATATTTTAATTTTATACACAAAAAAACAAGCATACACAAATAATAGTTGTAAAAGACATTATAATTTTTTATAGGACAAATCGAAAAGGGGGAAAACAACATAGCATGGCCCACTTAAAATAGTCCATTACATAATTAAAGATCCAAGATGTTGCTCTTCCTTGTAATTGAAAAATGTGGGATTACTTAATTAAGTAGAATTGTCTAACTCTAATTATAGAGATTACAGAAGAAGTGATGATAGGTGAAAGTGATTATACAATGTCAGTCAAGCAATGATAATATAACAAAGGTCATGTGCTCATGATTGGACAACGAATGTCAAATGATATAATTATATGTTTCTATTCAAAGGATAATAATTGAATGGTGGAAGTCATATAATGGCCTTTGATGGTGATTATCGGGGAAGGCAATAGAGTCCTAAGAATCTATGAACTCATGAATCACTCTCATGTAGAAAATGAAACTCTATTTATATATAGCTTTTTGAGGGGGGTGTTTCGATAAATTTTAACTAAATTTAAAAAAAAAATTCATGGAATGACCCTTATTAATCAACTTGATCATGAATATATATATAGCATTTAAATGTGTTAATGATGTTAGAATTAGACAATTTTGAGCTCACTTGATTTGTTTCGTCAAGATGCTTGATTTGACTATTAACATACGAAATCTAAAAATTAATTTGTCCTCTAATTAAAGTCATGAATTTTCCTACATATATAATTGTGGTTGATTTAAATTCATTTGAACTCAAATTAGATTATTTTGATATTTTTAGATTCATCTTGTCAAGACGTTCAATTTTTTTTTTTTTTTGGACATTTAGGCCATTTAAGGCAAACTCACACACACAACACATACACATAGACTCGAACACTGAACCTCTTAATTGGAAGCCTAAGCTCTCAACCAATAGGCCAAGGAGAGTTGTGTAGACGTTCAATTAGACTATAAGTTTATGCAAAACATAGCTTCGATGATCTTGAATTTAATTCTTAAAATTTCTCATTCAAATATTACCTTGATATTCATCTTGCTCAAGTGAATTTTTTAGAAATATATCAAGTGATAGTTTGATTGAACACAAGAAGAATATCAATATTATATTTTAGAAAAATTTACAAAATATAAATAGCACATAATCGTTATTTTCTTAGATAAGTATATTGTTAGGTATAAGTCCTAGATTTAGGTTTGTTTTTGTATAGCTTAGGTGTAGCTATTTGTATAGCTTGTAGAAGCCTATTTATAGGCTTTAGTTTTGTATTAGGAGGCAGCCAAAGGAAATAAAGATTTGCTGTGCATTTGGCTCACCGCCTTCCCTCTCCTCTCTCCCTCCTCCTCCTCTTGCAAGATCCATGAGGAAGTGCTTCTTCCTCAAGTGAAGGGATCTCACATCTGGTATCAGAGCCACGGCGGTGGCGATCTCGAGATGGAGGAGAGAAGGTTTCTTGTCTAAAGAAACGGAAGAAGGCAGTCTCGGCGGCGACAGGTAGCGGGTGTCGCGATCGGAGGCGACTTCGGCTCGGCGAAGGGAGCACGGACGGTGGTTTCTGTTGACGCAAGAAGGAAAGCCAGAGGATCTTGGTCCGGTGTGCGGGCGGAATCGGGAGCTGGGTTGCCGCAGACCGATCTTGGATGGAGGAAAGAAGGCAGAAGGCGAACGCTGCCGGAGCGTGGAGTTCTGCGGTTAGACAAGCAGACCGCGTGCAGACGCTGGCCGAAGGCGCGAGGACTTGTCTCGTGGTCCAGCGACCTGGTGTCGCGATTCAGTTCGCGTGAGGCGGACTGGCTCGTGCGATCTTGCCAGCAAGAGAGAACGGGCAGAACTTCTTGCGTTTCTTGCGGATCGAGAGGCCTTTCTTGCGTGTGTCATTCGCACAAGAGCAGTGGCTTGGAAGGAGAACGTTTGGAGGATCTTGAGCCTTCCTACCCGGATAGAACGGCTGGACGCTGGATTTGATCAAGATTATGCAGAAGGTGATGCCATGGTGATGTCATGGTGACATCGGCAGTTGTCTAGCAAGCTGAGAAGGCGACGTGAATTCAAGGATTTCTTGCAGCAAGATGGCGTTGATGCAAGCTTGCTGGCACGGATAGAGGTGGAGTCCGGGGGGGACACTGGGGTAGTGTCGGTTGCTCTTGGAGAGCAGGGTTGAAAGTGCGGGGCGCTTGGAGATGCGTGGTCGTGCGATGCTGGACATTTAGGCCATTTAAGGCAAACTCACACACACAACACATACACATAGACTCGAACACTGAACCTCTTAATTGGAAGCCTAAGCTCTCAACCAATAGGCCAAGGAGAGTTGTGTAGACGTTCAATTAGACTATAAGTTTATGCAAAACATAGCTTCGATGATCTTGAATTTAATTCTTAAAATTTCTCATTCAAATATTACCTTGATATTCATCTTGCTCAAGTGAATTTTTTAGAAATATATCAAGTGATAGTTTGATTGAACACAAGAAGAATATCAATATTATATTTTAGAAAAATTTACAAAATATAAATAGCACATAATCGTTATATTCTTAGATAATTATATAAATAAATATAAAAAGAACTCTTAAGTAAATCCACCCACATATTAATATAAATTATCTTAGTTGAACAATCATCTGTCCTTTTTTTTTCACCCACAATATCATAATTCAAAAAAAAAAACTTATAACTTTTCATAAATAATATAATATAAAAAAATAATGTCAGAATAATCTGACTAAAATTAATATAAACTATTTTAAGTATATTGATGAGCCCACAAGCACTACTTCCTAGGCACCGCTATGGCCCTCAGCGGCCGCTCCATGACTACAGTGAACAAAAACTTGCTTCCAAAATTAAGCTTCTTCTCCGCCGGATTCCGCCACTCAAACTCCTGAACCATCCTCGCCAGCAGAAGCGTTATATGCATCATCCCCATCCCCATTCCCGGACAAACTCTCCTCCCCGCCCCAAAAGGTATCATCTTTATCTCCTTCACCCCTGTCATATCCGCATTCTCCCCTCCCGTCAAGAACCTCTCCGGCTTGAACTCCCCGGCGTCCTTCCACAGCCTCGGATCCTGCGCTATCGCTGGAAGATATATCTCCAAATTAGCATCTTTCGGCACATCGTAACCCCCCAACTTCCCATCCTCCACCGCCGCGTGCGTTAACGTGAAATACGCCGGCGGGTGTTTCCTCAACAGTTCCTTCACAAACGCCTGAAGGTAAACCATTCCTTCCGTATCATTCTCGTTTATTACCCGCGCATATTTCCCAACCACCGCAGCTATCTCTTCGTATATTCTTGATTGAATCGATGGCTTATCGATCAGCTCCGCGATTCCCCACTCGATCGCAGTGGCGGTGGTGTCAGTTCCCCCGTTCAGAAACTCCGAGCAGAGAGTCACCAGCTCGGCGTCGGTGGGCGGGGCGGAGTTTCTGACCTGGAGATCGAGCAACGAATCGAGATATGAGAAGTTTGTGGCGTCGGGATGGGCCGCAGGGTTTTCAAGAATCCCGCGGCGTTTGTTGATTAAGGGGACAATGGCGTCGATCTGCTCTTTTCGGACTTTGATTGCTTCCGCGCGCTTCTTGGCGAAGAACGGTTTGATCAAAGGTAAGAAGTCGTCCATTTGAGGACTAGCGGTGATGAGGACTTTTTTCATGAGAATGTCGATCTTATTAATTTCGTTATCGTGGAGATCGAGGCCGAAGCACATCGATATCAGAATGTGGAAGACAGCGAAGCGCGTGTTGCGGAGGACCGAAATTTCGCTGTTGGAAGAGGATTCAGCGCGGATGTGATCGATGAATCGGTTTATAGCGGTTTGGCGGAGGGAATCGAAGGTTTTGAGGCGGGTGGGACTGAGAATGTTGGAGACCATGTTGCGGCGTAAGATGCGCCAATCGGGGCCGTAGAAAGCGGAATTGACGGTGAATTTGTTGCAGCTGAAGATGCTGCGGATGGGGGTTTCGGCCGGGCGTGAGGCGAAAAGTTGACTTTTTTGGATCAGAGCTTCGTGGGCGAGTTCGGGGTTGGTGATGAAGATGTGAGTTTGGGAGCCGAACCGGAGAGTGAAGATAGGGCCGTAGAGGGGAATGAGGTCGGGGATGTAGTGAATGAGTTGTTTGCGGGAGAGGGCGAGCTGGAGGAGGTTGCCGAGGAGGGGGAAGCAGGGGGGGCCGGGAGGGAGGTTTGAGGATTTGGAAGGGCGGAAGAATAGGAAGCGGAAGAGAAAGAGCAGGGTGAGGAAGGAGATGGAGAGGATGGTGGTGATGGTGAGAAAGACGAGCGAAATGGCCATGGGAGAGATGGAGGGGCGGTGAGAAGTGGGAGAGTGGTGGTGGTGGTGATGGTGGCGGTGGTGATGATGGTTTTATAGGTGGTGACGGAGCGAGGAGGTGTATGTGATTAGTTGGTGGAATTTAAATGTCGGGCCGGCTGAGAATTAAATTTGAAGGTTGAAATTTATAAAGGTTTTTGATTTGTCAAACTCTACGATGTGTTTTGTTATTTCTAAGGAATTGCAGGATGTAGTTGTGTTCTGTATGGGTTTGTTCTTTGGATTACTTTGGTTGGAAGGATTGGAATTCTTTATTAGCTAAAGAATATTGACTTTTAAGAGACCGTTGGATGACTGGTTTTATACTTATAGATAGAACATGAAAAGGTTATAGTCGCTCGAGTGACAGATAATGTTAGAGAGTCTCCTTAGAGAGGTTTTTGAACATAGATGGTTGAGCACTCTAATGGTAGATAAGATTAATAAATCCTTGCCTATCTATGCTAAACTACCTCTATTATTAACGACTTCACCCTTACACCGCAAATGAACTTGAATCATGTTTTACACATGTATCTTCTTTGGCTCTTGCCGCATTCAGAGGACAGATTATTACGTGCGGAGTTCAGACACAGAGAACCGTTCGGTTTTGTGATTGTGAATAGTAAAAGCACAAGGATGAACAGTGAACGGTAACTACGCTTTTACTATTAACAGTGACAAAATTGAACGATTCTCTATGTACGAATTCCGCACATATAATCTATCCATTCAAAGTGCTTAACTTTACTTCAACACCACATTCAAATTATGTCTCCCATCATGTACTATCTTTCCCTTTACCTAGGAAGAAAAAAATTACTAATGGTAATCTCTCTCTCTCTCTCTCTCTTGAGACATTGATATTAAATTGAGCTATCCTTTCTCCATCGAAACAGATGGACAATTTCTTGCCGACGTTGAAATTTCATGCTTGTTTTTCATAAGCTGTCACAAGTCCACTTCAACGTCTTGAATGCAAACATCTGTAAGGGTTTGCCAATAATTGCAGAGCAACCTCCATAAACAAGTCTGACGAGTTGACTGAATGGCAGAGGCCAAGTTTTTCTTCCTTGTGAATTAAATCCTGCTTAGATCTGAAAGCTTAGTTCATTATAAGTCCTGTATGCCCAATCAATATGGTATTAGTTTTGTGCTCTTTCAAAACTGTGAAGTCGATGGAGCCTATGAGCCGAACCCAAAAGCTTCGAGTTGCAAGCCCCAAGAGAAATCACGAAGAACCAGACTAAGCGCTTGCATGCTCGAAATGTGATGCTTCACCTTTGAAGCGTCCTTTAATGCTCACTATCAACAATATGGAAAGAGGCTTGCTTTCAAAGCCCACTATTTATACTTTCCAGCTTTGATATATCATCAAAAAATTATGTTGATGGGGCACAAATCTCGAAGCAAAATCAAGATTGAAAACTTCAAAAATTAAATTGGAGATCATCTAAACTCCGATTTCAGCAAATTTATAGTCGAACTGAACATCTCGGAAATACAAACCCAGCGACACCAAATTCGACTCAATCCGAGCCCAAATGAGTCCAAATCAAAGACCCGAAGCGCATTTGGAAGGTTCAATCCATAATTTGGATTACCAAACGGTTTCCAAACATGACATGCTTATAGTTGAATCGAGCGGCTCGGCGAGAAGAATCCAATGAGCCCATGATCGTCAAATTATGATATCATTGAGACATTCAAATGTCCAGTAAACAGTTTACGATCAAGTGATTCAACATCGGTCGTTCATTCAAGCCACTACAAATTTACCCTTGATCTTCCTCCTATTTATTAGTTATGTCACTCTCAGAAAATTATAAATAGACCTTCCATTCTTCATTGAAGGAGAGAGGAAAGGGAGGAGGAAGAAGGAAGCAAGAAAGTAAGAATATAAGGAAAAAAAAGGAAGAGAAGCAAGAGACTCCTCCTTGACCACCGTCAGACTTCCACCAGGCAGCCAACTGACACCTGAGTTCTTCCCGATAGCCAACTAACGCCGGAATTAAGCAAGGAAGCAAGAAGAAAAGAAAGAGACTCCTCCTCAACCACCTCCCAGACACTAATCGACATTGATCTTCCGCCCGTCACCAGATTTCTACTAGACGTGTGATTTCCGCACATCGATTGATTGGTGGATCTGTTGAAGGCAAACTCTACTTGAGCTAGAATGAGATTCCATTGGTGAATATTCTTCCCAACAAAGCATCGCAGCCGATTTCTTAACCTTCTATTTACCGTTTCAGTTTGATTGTCTTTTCAGAAGTGTGCGGCTGATGAAAAATTGAAGTTTTGTCCCTATTTTTTCCCATAATATTCTCCAAAAATAACTGAGGAATTTGACAATGCAATCAAACGTTATCATCCAAGGGATGTCGCGTAGTCGAACAATTTCTTAGAAGTAAAGATTAGCTACATTGGTGACGTCAAGTGTCTTGTTGCAAGGCACAAAGTGAGCCATTTTTTAGAACCCATCAACCGCAACCATTCTAGAATCCTTATGTCACTGTGTGTGAGTCAGTCCAATTACAAAATCAATGCTATCAACGATCCATGGGGCTTTTGGGACTAGTAACAGAGTGTAAAGCTCCCAATTTGCAAACTCTACATTGCTGAACAAATCTGGCAACATATCTAGCTAGAAAGGGCAAATATAAGTGTTCTTCTATTAAAATAAGAGTTTTATCTCTTCCGAAATGTCCAGCCAATTCACTTGTATGATACACATTTAAAATAACTAGGCGTATAGAGCCCTGGGAAACACAAACGATTTCCCAAAAATACATGTCCTTGTTCTATATGATGAAGCTGGGAGGGACCCATTTGGCATTGTTTCCATATAATTTTAAAGTCTCCTACTTAGAATTTTCATCTTTAAGCAACATTTTTAATCTTACAAAAAAATTGTAATAATAAAGAAGAATGATGTTTATTTGCATAATTTACAATCTTATTATTTTAGCATTAACTTCACGAATCACTTCTGCTATAATAGAGAGAGCATTTTCTATGTTGAGAATTATCAAACATTAATTATATTATAAGATAAGGGGTTATTAGCTTCATGATAGTCTATTATCTTATTATGTTGAAAGGAAGTATTTTATTTGATTCTTAATGTTGTAATGCAACGTTAAAAAAATACTAAATATATTTGCAAATATTATCAATATTACTCGATTAATCGTTCATAATGAAATATAAGTTAATTAAAATTTATACATTTTTTTAAAAATATTAATTTATTTACATGATAAATAAATTAAAGATATGTGTATGAATAGATAATCCATTCGCTTAAGTCACCTCTTTTTCTTTTTTCTAGTGCCAAAACTTCATTCTCCAAATGGCATGATAGAATAGTCCATCAATCAATCTCAATTCTCAAATATTTAGTTTCCTAGTTCAATCTAAGAGAAATTATTCTGTGCGGATACCGGATCATTCGGAGGCAAATCAAAGCCTGCCACATCACTTGTTACATAGCCTTGATATACATCAAATAGGTGACGAGACACACTATGATTTGTGTCTGAACAACATTCGTATCTGCACAGAATAATTTCACTCAATCTAGACGTATTGTTTGTCTTTTTTTTTTTTTCTTTTTTTGGCAAATGTATATGGTACTATCCACTTAAGTAAAAATCTAATGTTTATCATGTCTTCATTAGCTTTATAAAATTGAGCCAAAAAAAATACTTTGATTGTAAAATCATTACATTATAATCTAACAACGGCTATGAATATGAAGCTCTACACATACTCCCAACCATCAAATACATCTCTCATCTCATTAACCCGCCACATATCTCAACATAATAGATACTCTAAAAGAAGCTATCAATATGTTATCAAAATTAGCCTCTTTTGTCTTGGTAGCTTGATAATTAGGGATAAATCTCCACATAAAAATTTTGAGCCTATTAATTCTATTTTATTACTATTTTCTTATTGCTTTTGAAAAAAAAAATTTACTAAAAATTTACTTTTTTATAACAACTTTCAAAAAAATTATGTTCCCCACAATAACTTTATATTCATCTTTATAAAAAAAATGCAATCATCCCAAGCAAATCCTATGACTACATTGATGCTACTTATTTAAATGTAAATCCTTTTTTTAACATATATAAAACTCGTTGCTATTGATTTAAGATTTTATTCAGTAACAAATACAACATAATACACTCACATGGCTCATATACCGTCTAAAGTAAAAGTGTAGAGATTTCACATATATGTCGGGGGTCCAAGGAGGCAGCGCCCCTGACGGGGTTCGACCTAACAATAACTTGGCATGGTTCGACCGAACAAATTTTGGTTGTAAGAATATTTTTGGATTCTCTTTACTATTTCTCTTTATATTTGATTCATTGTTCCCTAACAATAACGCATCTACACAATAAACCAGATTCATGTAATTAATATATCTTGACAAAGCGGGAAACAATACCGAGCTCAACTTGAACTTGGCAATGCAAATATTGGCAGGGAAAACTTTAAAGTTCAAAAGGTTTCAAAGTAAATTGATTTAGTGTAAAGAGAATGGAGAGTACCAGTGATTCAATGGTTGCTATCATAGCCTAGAACTCCTCATCATTTCCAGGTGATCTTGTCACGGGAATAGACCATCTACCCAGGTGTGCAGTATAGTTCAAACATCGTAAGACACCTTTTCCCTCAGGCCCATCAGGAAAATCAATGACGCTGATGCTGCCAGTATCGAGATGGAAAGAACCCGTCCATTCTGGGGTTAATTTGAGACAATGTGCTATGAGTGCAATATGAGCAGCAGGGTGTGCAACGACCACAACATTTCTTTCTGATTCTGGTTCTGATTCTGAATCATTTGATAATTGCTGTAGAAGGGAAAGCCAGGCTTTCCTTGACTGAGACCATAGTTCTACCATGCTGGTATCATCGAGGTCATCAAACCATCCCACTCGAATAGGGTTTGATTTCCTTGAAATCTGAGGCAAGGTAGAACAATGTTAGAAAAATTACAAAACCATAAACAACAGCAATAGGTGATAGACATGTGGAGATATAAAAATAATTTGTAGTTTCCTATCATAAATGAACAGACAACTAAATCTAAAATCAAGATATACCGATAGAGATAGCCAGTGCAAACCCATAGAAAGAGACAATTGAGACATATACATAGATGTTTGAGATCATTGAAGCAATTGATCATATTGAGCATAACTAATCCAAAGGACAAAGAAACAAAAGTTGTGAGAAGGGTAAGTTAGGAGAGTAAAGAGCTCTGTGAAGCAAAGAATCCAAGAGAATAATCTAAATGTTAAATCGTAAGGGCTGCCATCAACTAAAATTTCACACCGTATAAAAAATGAAGCAAATCATAGATAAATTTGGTGATAAAGAATTCTTCATTTAGCTTCTACTAATAATCAAATAAGCAGTGAAGGGGCCCAATTGAACTTGTCCTAATTTAATCTTAATGTGCTATAATAGTCCTGGATCTGCATATTATTTTGTTGAACAGAAAAAAAATCTTAGAATAGAGAATATAGACGTGAAAGATAGTACTTCTTTGGAAGTATGTTGAGCCAAAAAAACTACATTTTTTGGCAGACTCTTAAAATGACCACAGGTAATAGGAGGATCAAAACTATTCATATCAACCAAGTCAACTATGACAGTTTTATCAAAGGAGAAGCATCAAAATGGAGTATATCATGACAACAAAAAAGGAAGTGAAACGTCCCTTGACCATATGAAATAATTGGTACCATTGAATTTGATGTTGGCATCGATGGGGTATTTTGACTCATTGGAATATGGGTGAAATTCTTGACATTATGAAAAAGAGATTGAATCCATGAGGTAACTCAAATCATAGAAATTGGATGAGCCATAAAGTGGTCTCGCCCTAGTGTATTATGGCAATAGCACACGAGTAGGAAGCCATTAGAAGGGTAGCCGATGTTGTGTGGCAAAGGGCTACAAGATCATGCAAGCAGACGATGAGGAGAACTAGAGAGGTCACGAGCAATGAGCAAGCGAAGCAAGTGTGGTGGATCAGAGTGAGCATTACGGACCAAAGGGGGCATGGACTCAGGCAAAAGCACTATCAACAGAAGCAGGCTTACGGGATCGGGATCAAGCTCAAAAAAGGGAGAAAGAGAGCAATAACTAATAAGACTAATTAGGCTCTGCAATATTGTTAAAAAAAATTAGTGTGTATTATTCATAAAATATCCCCTGTATTTTATAATAGAAGATCTAATACAATATTTACTATACACTTAAATAACCAACAACACTCTCCAAATATAGATAACTTAATTGATATAATTCTATGCTAATATTAGGACTTTAAGAAATCCTAGCATGCATGCTAGGATCAATTATCTTAGTAATAAAATTATCTTAGATATAAAACATGGTATACTAGTAATCATGTTTACAAAATTTTAAAACTATTATATCTTTTTACAAATATACCAAATTACAAGAAGAGTTATCCAAATTTCTAATAATAAATGACATGTTAGCTATCACAAGGACAGTTGGCTAGATGATATTGATTTAAATATAGGTTTATTTAAAAGTATAGCATTCATCAACAAAAATAATAATGCTAAACATAGTTCAATAAAATATAAGCTCAACTTATCCCATGAATGGAAACGCTTAAATTCACCTAAAGAAGGCTAGATTAAAGTTACGCTTGTTCACCCCTTTTGACCATCTCCTCATTAAACAAGTAATATATCAATTAGTTGCTAAACACAAATTTAAGTTGACATCAGAAAAATCATATCATCCTTATTTATTATCAGTACATAATTTATTATATAGTGCATATATTATTAGAGGTTAAATTGTCAAATTGCTTATTGAAAATTTAAATAAATAACTAGTCATGAAACTATAAATTCAATCACTAACAAGTTAAATAACACCATAATTAGGGATTTATTAAATATTCAATTGTGCTACTAATTCATTATTCAGGATTAGTTCTAAAAAATGATCACGTGATAAATGTTCCAAGCACTTCATGCATAAGGATCAGTCTAAATTTTATGATAAATGCCCTGAATATTAAGCACGCATTAGCCTTTTTACCCCCCCAGAGATGATGGATTACGTGATTATGTTTAGCTATTAAAATTAACTAAGATCGAGTCTTAAGCCTCTAGCCTTCTTTCTTAATTTAAGTTAGATGAACTAATTCCACTTGAGAACAAAATAGACGTTAAGGTTTCCATGCAAAAGTCAGCTTAATTCAACCTTCTTGTCCGGAAGAAGAAATTTTTTTTTTTATGGTTCCATTTGGCACACTAATGAACATGAAAAGGAAGCAAATTACCATTGAATTTCTAATTAGAAAAAGAATAACAGATGACTACAAACATGGAAAATAGTTTACCTTAAGTGCCCGCTGAAGAATAGGTTCAACTTCAAGTTCTAGCATTTTTTTCGTCTCTACATAACGAGGAACACAGTCAGCACCCAAGCAATCTGCTGCTTCTTGAACCTACGATCACAACTGCCGGAGTTGAATTAAATAAAAGAGTTTGGAATATATATAGATTAAATTCACATAAAAGCAATCCACCGGAACATCTTTTTATAAATGTAAGAGACATATTCACCTCACATATGGCAGTAGCAGTGTCGGCAGAAGCAATCCTTGGACTGCATATTAGACAACTCATCTTCAAGTCTAAAAGTAGCTCTGCAATTTTTTGAGACTGCAGTTTCAATTAGGATAACTAGGTATGGGTGGATAAATGAAAACTAAGTGCAAATAACTTCATCAGTTCTAGACATAAAAAATACCTGTATAACCCCAAGCATATTTAAGGGCTCAAACCCGATATCTGAAAATGCAGCCTAGATATAAGAGGCAAAAGTAAACTTGTAAAACATTTTAAAATAAGTGTTAGTATACCACATCTCTGAGCATGAAAATGAAGAAGGTTGTAGAGTCCATCTACAGACTGATCCTACTTCATAAATACCATAAGGCAACGATTCAGAGCATAAGAAACGGACATGTATCTTCCTAGTTCAATAAAATTTGACATCTAAAACTACGCAATATTATACATTAAAATGGCCTTGTTACTTTATATCAACATAGATCGCACACTTTCTCATGTTTTATGTTAAACTACCTGATTTATCACTACGCACACCAGCTCTGCCAGACATTGTCACGTTAAATTGGTGGAAATTGTTCATTAATAACAACTTTGATATGACTCGTTCCTTCACTTGATAAGCATGCACTCCAATACTTATGAAATGGGTGATGTGCCTCGGATGTAAAATCAAAAAACAAACAAACAGAAAACTACAGGAATACCAAAATAATGGCTGATTTTATATTAATACTTCAACAAGAAAAACAAGATACAGTTGATCAATAATTTGAGAGGTAAATCGGGTCTCCCAAACAACCTAAACGCCGCTAGGAAGCCTCCAAGAAAAGAACTACAGCAGAAAAAATCCGAAATATGCATAACTCTAACCCTATGGTAAATCAACTACTTAAAACATACAATAAACAACAAATACAAAAGAAGCCCTCCCCTAATTTCCTCTAAAATCAGCCCCAAATATGCTCTATTTCCTTACTTATTTCCCTCTCCTATTTGAATTCAATTTGAAATTATTTCTTAATTAATCTCCTCCTAGCCGACCCCCCCCCCCGGCATTAATTCCCAGGGCTCCACCCCAATGGGGGAGAACTAGGCTTTTGCGTGGAGTAAACAATGGTCGTTCCCTTCTATTGGACCGGCTGGACCAGTCTAACAATGGGCCCAAACAAATTTAAAAAAAAAAAATTCTGCAACAAATAAGAAAAAAAATATAAAGAACTGCATCGATAAGTACCAATCACTCTAGTAAAAACTAAAATTGCTTCAAATTTTTTAAAAAGGAACCCAGCCAACAGCATAAAAAAATATTAGTTTGGTTGATGGCATACTATTATAGGACTGTCTTAAGCAGCTTATCATACTTCATTACTCTGTGTGGCCCCATGGCATACTAAAATAATCTGCGCGTTAGTTTTCCTTCCACCAGAACTTTCATGAGAAACCGGAGAATTTGGCGTCTGCAATAAAAGGAAAATACATTAAATCTTAGAGCAATATCACGACAATTAAAAAAATTAAAGAGTTTAATGTGAAATAAATAGGAGCCTAAAATTATCAGAATCCCTAGGCATGTCTAGGCATGCTCAATGTGATATGTTTATCCAAAATCAAAAAAGCTAGGTGCCACCACAACGCAATATTGTTATTTGCCACCTGAGGCACTATGCATCATCCTAGATGCTAAAACAAACGAAGCCAAATGCTAAAAATTTTGCTATATTACTTATAACCTTATTTTAATTATAAGAAGTATTTTTATGAGTGAAAAAGTATAATTATCAAATCAAGCCACGGTGCGAAAAATAATTTCCAAGCAATTCCAAAGTCAAGAATCACGCTAAATCAACCATCTTAAACAATAAAAATTAAACTAAAGTTTGTTAGTAGTTTATGTAGCCTAAGATAATCTAATATACTAATATTATATAATCCATCTTCATCATCATCTATGCAAGCTTCTACGTCACTGGATTTATAACCCTTCGATTTTACATCTATTTTCTAAGACTAATCATCTTCATCCTCAAGGTTTACTAAACTGGAACTAGAAGCTTCTCTACATCCTTGTTTCCAGAGGGCATTTGTTTCTCCAACTTTTGATTTCCTTTTCACAATAGCCCATGCCAAAACCATCAGCAACGTACTACCTTTAACTTTTTAATTATTGACACTTGTATCTCTAGCCAAGGCAAAGTGCTGCCTCAATAGCTGGCGCTTAAAGCAATGAAGTAGCATCATAGTAATGGTGCCCTTTAGGAGGCACATGATGGCCCTGCCTTGACCAGGCGCCTGAGCAAATACCACAGTCACTCTAAAAACACTGGATGGGCACCAAAACTATGAGCACCACATGAAATGCAAATTTGTGGTCTCCATTAGAATTGCAACAAAGAGTTATATTGAGAATGCTATGTCCCATTTAATAGAACTTAAACATTAGAATAGTGTCAACAATTTTGTGAGTCTATATAAATTTGTCATGGCTAGACAGAATGCAAAAAGTAGTATTTTTTACCACCAAAGGGTTAAGGGGCCTATGATCTTAGTTCCTTGAATGAAGACCAAGGATGGTGTACAATAATACCCTTCAAGTTTACCTCTATTCTTAGAATATTTTACAAGCATCAAAATATTTCAAATCTCAAACTCTAAGCTCCTTGCATAAAGACCAAGGATGGTGTACAATAAAAATATACTTAATCTAGTCCATTTCATTATTGATTAGGGTCATCAAAGATCACAATTATTTTTGTTATTTGTTTTTAATTTATTTATGATCTAGCAGACAATAAAATCATGTTTAATATGTTTATAATCTTCTCATCATGAATCATAAATTGAAAAAAAAAAAATAAACTAATTACAAAGATCAATCATAATTAGCTGAACGAGGGTGGCAAAAAGTGTAGAAAGGTGGAGGGACTAGGGTTATGGCAAAGGCAACGAGAGTCAAGAGTCAGTTGGGAGTCAAATCAATAGTCAAGAAAAAAATTTAAAAAAATGCTTTAAAAACATAAAACACACCAAATTTATTTTTTATATTTGTTTAAAACAAAATATTTTGTTTTGAAAAAACAAAAATAAGTAAATAAACATACTTTCTTACAATTTTGATTGATTTTTTAAAATAAAAATACAAAGTGATGCCAAACAAGCCCTTCGTCAATTCAACCAGCTCTTAAACAATAAAAATAAATATACAAACAAGTTAGCAATTTAGCATAATCAATATTCTAACAACATAAGAGAGGCTCTTATATGATAAGAATACAAAAGGAATAGTCAAAAGCCCCAGTGGGATAAAGTTTAAGTCATAAACGAAAGAATGGTATGCAGGGATAGCAAAACAGTTTCTAATATTTGAACCAGCACAAAAGATCCTAGAAACTATTTCCTATCAATCAGAAGACGATTAAAGATTCCATGATCTATTTCCCATCAATCAAAAGACTAGAGTCTTAGGATTTCATTTTAATATATTCTCATACAAAAAATGCAAAAAAGGATCCATAAGTGGATGTAAGAATATAATGAAAAAATTTCATAGTACAAACCCTTAAACTATAATAAACAACATATGTTTTGGTGCCTAAACCTGATTTAAACGATTAAGACTTATACGTGGAGAGCCACCTCCAATTCTAGGGACGAAGTCCAACACGCTCAGGCCGCAGTTGCTTTGTAGGAGAATCCTGAAGTATTTTGTTCCTAAACCTGAACAGACATGTAGACAAAAAATTAGATCTATCCTGTATCATAATAAGCTTGCAATAGATATTGTCAAAAAGATTTACCAATCGCAGTGGCAACAAGAGCTTGATTGACAGCATTGTGTGCAACTACTAACACAGACCTTCCTTCATGAGCCAAAATTTTGCTCCAGCAGCTCTCAGCTCGGTCCCAGAGTTCTCTAACAGGATAATGTCCATCAATTTGAAAGTTTTCAGCATCTTTCTGCCATTGACGATATGCACTACCAAACTTCTCCTTCCCCTCATGTTTTAGAAGGCCCTAATAAGGACAGATTGGGGAAAAGGAATATGTGCAACTTGTGAAAAAAAAAATTATAGGAAAAACACAGTTCCTTACTAATATTATCACAAACTTGAAAAGAATATAGATCAATCTCCCTAAGGTCTGGTTCTGTTATCACGTTGTCCTTGCGAGAATCCCATATAACCTCAGCTGTTCTCTTGGATCGAATCAAGGGACTGAAAAGCAAAATAAAAAGAACATTGCATTATAAGCAATAAAGAACATATAATGCAAGGCAATAAATCAAGCAACACATTGGTGCACTTTCATGCCTTACTGAAATAGATTTTCTTTTTTATTACTTCCACCATCTAATGAAGCAAGGAAAGTCAATAACAAAGTGAAACACTGTATGAAACCAAATTAAATGAGGAGAACCATGCAAGCAGCAAACATTAAAGAAGCAAATTAGGAGCAAGTAATCATCTAAGTGGCGCGTGCACATGGCAGCTAAAGCCAGTAAGAGCATGTGCCATCTCAGTAGATAGTTGCATGGTAAATTGGTGATATCTAATTTTAGAGTGAAATCTTGAAGAAGCAGTTCATCTAATTTTTTAGTAGAAAGCTACATTTAAATTATAAATATATTGTACTAAATATATATTTCTTAAGACACCGATGCGGCTATAAAGAGAATTCTTAAGAAATTTGGATTTGCCAAACAATGTTGCTTTGGAATTAATCAATCAAGGTATGCAGTAGAACCTCAATTTCTCTGTTAATTCTTATCCTTTTACTTCCAAAGCCGTAGGAATACCCTGATGCAAGGATATGTCAGCAGTTGAAGTTCCACACATTATAAAATTTATGTGCAAATAAGACAGAGGTGTTCAAAAAATTAGGAGATCCCTTCCATATCAAGAAGAATAGATCTTGCTAGAAAGAGAAAAATTTATATCGACTTTATTTATTACAAAACCATATCTTGTTAGCAAGATGGGGACATTTTGACGGCTTATTTACTATTTAGCTTGCTTTCATATAAGAAACATCATGTTTATATAAGGATGCTGGTATATTTCACAAACTTGAAATGCTATATTAACGATTGAAATTTCCTTCTATGGATAAGAAGTATTTTTCCTCTTCCAAGAGTAACGCTTGAGGAAATCACTGGAAACACAATTAATTAAGTTCAATATCTTCTTTCCTAATTATTTTTTATCTATCTGCTCTCCAAAGGAATCCCTCCAACTTATCCCAACATAAAATTTGGCATTATAGCAATCATACTTTTGATTAAGGCTAGTAATTATATATGCAAAAAATGCTTAGCGTATGGTAGCAAGAGTTTGATAAAGGGATGGAAAATTAATCGCCTTCAACTAAAAGAGAATGATGAGGGAAATGATGACGAACCGGATCAAAATCTTATGAATTCATCATCCATAATTGTCTTGGTCTCTGATATACTTATTCAGTGAATTTAGTCAATCCAATTTGACAGAATGATCTTTGTTAGCAACCATGAGTTTCTTCATCCTAAGGAGCCTAATTTAAATCGATCTTAGCTAACAGAGATTTTTATGTAATATCAACAACAATCTATATGATTTATTACTAAAGGATTTTTACCCATTACAAAATTTGCAGGCTCTGACCATGACAAGAATTTAATGGTGTCTTTTGACGACAAAATCATCCTATCAGAGAGTCTCGTTCATAACCATTTACATGTGGAATAATTTGATGGTAAAACTACCAACTATTCCTACTAGTGAGAAAATATTTGAGAATGAATTATAGTTATACACTCAATAATACATTGGTCATTTATGAGTTGAGGTTATTCTCAAATTTATCACCCTTTACAAGTGGATAGATTTTGCATTAAGTTAAAAAAAAGGGTAAACTTCAAATACTTTTAGATTTTGACAAATATATAATTTTTAACTTCATCAGAGTTTAAGCATCGAATGATTAATTTTGAAATTTTGGGGGCATTTTGAGAGTAAGGGACCCCTCCAATTGATATTTAATGTCAATACGGCTATCATCATTGTATTTGAATTATTTTTTTTTGTTATTTGAACCTTATTAACTCTACCTGCTTCGCATAGGATCGAATTTAAAAATTAACTTTGCGAGTTGTCATATGAGCTGTAAACTTGAGAATTTGCATTTTGATAATAAATTTTCTTCCTACAAGACATTGCTGATCTAACACATGCAAAATCAAATATCTTTGTTTATGTCACCAGCGCATGGTCATTTGCAAGAATAGAACATAGTTCATTGTTTGAAATTTATGTTTTTTAAGATGAATAAAGTTTAAATTCATTTCTTATTTTTAACCCGCACAGTATTCTCGAACCTCAAAATCAGAAGTTTGATGTGTTTGGTTAAAGCACGTGTGATTTTTATTTTTTTAAAAGGGCTTTCCAGCTGTAGCAACGGACTTCATAGAGCAGTTACACAATTTCAAAACTTGGGAGCTTTATTTCGACTTATTCTTAGCCCACACGGCATCCTCATACTATATTTGAACATTTAGCATATTTGTCAAAACACGTGTGAGAAATTTTAACCGCACCATTTTAATGTGTTGAGAGTACTTTTTTTTTAATACATTCGCACTTTATACATAATCACTCTCCTATGCATGTACACGATCACTCAACATTTTTTATGCACTCATGCTTAACATACTTGCATATTTTTTAATGTGATTTTGTCTTTTTAATACATCTATACAATGCACATGCACGTCTTTCAATATATTTGCATGGTGCACTCACATATTTTTAATGAACTCACATAATTTTATGTGCACCTATGTGATTTGCTTGCACACTTTTCAATGCATTTACACTGCAATTGCACACCTCGATGCATTTATGTAACTTTCAATGTGCATGCACGACACACATATTTTTGTGCATTTGCACTATATTTACTCGCTTTTCAATATACTTGTGCTCTTTTTAAAACGCGTATACGATGTATTTGCACACTTTCGATGCATTTGCATTGTACAGTTGCATACTTTTTAATATATTGATATTGTGTGATTCAGAGTTAGAATTCTTGAAGTAATTGCACGTTTATAAAAAAATGGCTCACTTCTCAAGGCAGTGACATGTTTCATAAGATGATTGCAAGCTTATCAATGAGACTACAAACTTCTTAAGATAGCATCTCACTTGTCAATTTGATTGTACCTTTCTCAAGGTGATTGAATGCTTCTCGAGGTTACTTAGCATTTTACCACCAGATAACCTATAGTAATGTTTATTGCTATTGGTCCAGGTCATTATAACAACATAAGCATCCAATATTAATTATACCAACAACAACAGCAACAACATCAATCTTTTATCCCGCTACGTGGGATAAGAAAAATGAATCATTTTCTCCATTGTATCCTGTTAAGAGTCAAATTCTCATTTAAATCTAATAAAAAAATGTCATTTATAATACTTTCTAAACAATCCTCTTTAGGCATATCTATACATTAAGGCCAAATCCAATATATCCCCAAGAGCATAAACATTAATACCTCGTGAAGCAAACATCAAAGAGATCACCAAGAAGCATCTGACGAGAAGTCTCCGCCTGCGACTCCCCCTTTGCTGTAAGTACAGAATGATCGGAACTCCCTTGAATCCTCCCCTCCTCGTTCCAGGTGCTCTGCCCATGCCTCACCAAAACCACTCTCTTCGCCGCCCTAATTTCAGGGAATTGCGGCGAGCAGCGTAACCCCGGCCTCAGATCAAAGTCTGATGGAGGCTTCTCTACTTCCCACACGCTCGAACAAAAAACTGGAAGCACCCTCCGGTTCCTCCGCCGGAAGTGAGGCGATTGGCCGGGAAGCGGCGACACCACTGAGAGCATTTTGGATGAATTTCCCTGTTATTCCTGTGAGAAAATTTTGCATTTTAAAGAATCGGGGGCCTGCTGCAATATTTTACACCCGATCGTATGGCTTCCAGTAGACGACGCGAGGCCAAGCGGATAGGAAGAGACCAAAGAGTGCAGACAATTTCTCTGGATAGAAATTAATCAAATTATTCTGTGCGAGTCTAGAATTAGATCTACATCCGGTCCAATTAAATACACTAAATTTGAAAAAATTTGGTACTCAAATTAGATTTCGTTTTTAATTTGTATCTTATCTGCCTAATCGACAAGGCCCAGGGTTTCTAACTTTTATTTGGTCCGGTGAACGTACGCTCCTCTACGTTCGGCCACCAATGTTTTAGCGCCACGTAGCATGAAGAAAAGTCGCCGACCCGACCCGCTATTTTTCGGGTTCTCGCACGTGCATTTTTTTAAATCCTTGACGAGCCGAACAATATCTCATCACCTTTTGGATATATTTCAAATACCTAGCAATACTGAGTTGTACCTAGTTTTTTCTAGCAATACCGATCAAATACCTAGCAATACCGAGCAAATCCCACTCGGTATTGCTCGGTATAACTCGGTATTGGGTCTTCACGTGATGGTATTCCTCGTTATTGTTTGGTATTGTTCGGTATTTGCTCGGTATTTCTCATTTTTTGACGTGATTTGACCTCTGACCGGATGTTCCTCTACGTCCGATCGGAGGACATAATAATTGTTCCTTCAAATTTAAATTCTAAGATTGTCATTTCTTTTTTAAATGAAAATAACTGTAAATGCTCCACAATATATAGGATTTTTGCTCAATAAATTTTTATATTTATTTAGAAAGAAAAAACGAGTAAGAGATAATATAAAGAATCACTTGGAGGATGAGGCTCGTTCTCTGAGCAGATGATATGACTACATAACACAATTTAAAATACAATGTGCAAATCCCAAGAAAGAGAAAGAATTGAAGTTGAAAGAGGTGCGATCTAAAAGAATAATAATTTTTTTCTTTATAGTTAGAGAATATTTGAGGGGTCCAAGGGTCCAGTGTCGGAACAAAATTTGGTTGTAAGGAAGAGTTTGGAGTTCCACTTGTTTTTTATTAAATTCATTGTAAACAGAGCGGTATTTCTCATTTTTGCAAAGAAATACCTAGCAAATACCGAGCAAACTCGAGAAAATCGCAAACATAGCATTCCCGGGTTCCGCTCCGGGTCAAGTCGTCGGGCCGCGCGGTAAAGAGTAAGAGCACGTGGCGACATGTTATTGGCGGCCGAACGTAGCTCTACGTCCAGTCAGAGGACGTAATAATTGTTCCATGGTTTCAACATGCCCTTCAAATTTAAATTCTAAGATTGTCGTTTCTTTTTTAAATGAAAATAATTGTGAATGCTCCACAATATATAGGATTTTTTCTCAACAAATTTTTATATTTATTTAGAAAGAAAAAACGAGTAAGAGATAATATAAAGAATGACTTGGTGGATGAGGTTCATTCTTTGAGCAGATGATATGACTACTTAACACAAAATTTCCTCTGCTTTGTAGAGCGGGTTTTTTTCTTAGAGTTTCCTCTCCTTGCTCTACCGCCGTGCTTTCGTCTTCTTCCTCCCCTCCGGCCTGGCCGGAGGTTCTCCTCCTCATGGAGTCTGCTTTGCATGGCTCTAATTTTCCCCCTCTGTCCACTTCTTCCCCTGTTTCCAAGATTCCTTCTTCCTTGAAGGACTGGTGTAACATTTTTTCCCCTGCCCAAACCTCTCCTACGTCCAAAAGCTTCAGTTTTTCTCATCATCCGCTTGAGCCTGAAGTTATTCCTTTCTCTTCTGAGAAACTTGTCTCTGGCAGTAAGGATTGGAGCCTCTGCCTTGTTGGTTACTCCATAGGTCGGAGACCTTTCTATGAGGCACTTTTGGGTGCTATCAACAAAACCTGGTCTTTAAAAGGTTCACTCAAGCTTCATTCCTTGAGTGATGGTTTTTTTTCTACTCCGGTTCTCATGTGCTGAAGATTTTGATATGGCTTGGTCTAAAGGAGTGTGGTTTCTGCTTGGCAAGCCTTTTGTACTCAAAAAATGGCACCCCAAATTCAAGCCAAAAAGAGAAGATTTTGCTGAAGTTCCTATCTGGATCAAGATTCACGATTTTCCTTTGGCTTGTTGGAACTCGGAGGGGATCTCGAGGATTGCTAGCAAGGTTGGTATTCCTGTTGCTGCAGATCAACTCACGACGCAAAAAACTCGACTTACATACGCCCGCATTTGCGTTTTGGTGGACATAAGGCCTCCTATCCTGAAGTCATTAAAGTTTCCCTAGATGGCAATATTTCTGAACTTAGGGTGCAATACGAATGGAGGCCATCTCCTTGTGAACATTGTCAATCTTTGGTTCACGATTCATCTTCCTGTCCCAAAAATCCAAATGCAGTCACCACGGAGCCTTATACTTCTAGGCCTTTTGTCAGAGGCAGAAGTTTCAGCAAAAAACCTTCTAACAGGAACATTTCTCATTCCAGACCCCCAAAACCGGATTCCGCTGCAATTAATCTTAAGGAAAAAGAGGTGGTTAATGCGGGTATTACTATTCCTTTACACTCGAATAGTATTGGTCAACCTGTTCACTATCAACGCCATTCTCCACCGCCATCTGATAAACCTCCCACCTCTCTGCCATCCTCTTCTAATCAGGGAGAACCTCATATCATCAAAACATCTGTTGGGAATGTGTCTGGTGATGTCAATGCTTCCATTCCTAATTTTAATGTTGTCGCGGAAGAGTTATCTTCTTCCTCTTCTTCACTTATGGCTTCTTCTCTTAAGCCTGCTACTAGTATTAATTACCCTAACAAATTCGATATTCTTACGGATTTGGACTCCCTCAGTAAAGAGGATACTAATCTTGATATACAGGACAAGGATATAAAATTGCCAGGAAAGGGAAAAAAACAGGCTATCCCCGAATTTTCTAAGAAATCTGCTAAGGGAAAGCAGAGTAAAAAATCCCAATCTCATCAAAATTCTTGATGTCCATTCCACATTTCGGAGTGTGGAATGTCAGGGGTTTTAATCGTCCTGACAAAGTTTTTTGCTGTAAGCGTTTAATTCAGTCTTTTAAGCTTGATATGCTCTGTATTTTGGAAAACCGCATCCACCTTTCCTCCCTTTCAGATCAGTTTTTTGATTCTTCTCATCGGCTTTTTCCTAATGAAGACAGTGTTCACAATTTTGATTTATCTCCTTCTGGGAGAATTTGGATTAAGTGGAATTCTAGCAAGCTCTGTTTCATTCCAAATTCCATCACTCCTCAACTCATTAATGGCATGGTTAAGATTGGTAATCTTACTTCTTTTCAGTTATCTATTGTATATGCTGCCAATACAGCTAGTGATAGGCATGATCTCTGGGCTTCTATCTCTGCTGTGGCACCCTCTACTGAGATCCCGTGGGCAGTCATTGGTGATTTTAACTGTTGCCGATATGCTTCTGACAAAATGGGAGGCTTGCCGCTTCATCACTCTCACTTAGTTGATATTAACAATATAATTTTTTCTAATCATTTGGTTGATCTTAATGCGGTGGGGAGTCATTATTCTTGGTACAATCAGCAAACTGTGAATCCTATTTTTATTAAACTTGACAGAGCCCTTGTCAATGAGACTTGGATTAAGTGCTTTCCAGCTTCCTACAGCTCTTTCCAATCTCCTGCCTGTTCAGATCACTCTCCTATAATTCTTCATCCAGGGATTAATTTTAAATCTAATCAACGTTTTCAGTTTAGGAACTTCTGGACAAAAAATGACACTTATTGGAGCTTACTGTTGAATACCTGTTCCCAACCGATATCTGGGAACCCTCTATCTCATTTTTGCTCGATTCTCAAAAAGCTAAAAGGTGATCTTAAGCATCAAGTTTGGGCTAATTCCAATTCTCTTTCTGTGGAGTTGGATAGTTTATACAGGCAACAAGAACTCTTACTCGGCTCTGTGCACCATGAGCCCTTACGTTTTGACTTGTTGGAAAACCTGAAGAAGGTTAATCTTAGCATTGCTGAAACCTCTGCCTCTCTTGCTAGCTGGGCAATCCAAAGAGCTAAGGTTAATTGGCTTCAACATGGTGAAGAGGACTTGGAATTTTTATATGCAAAGATCAGATGTAAACAAGGGAAGTCTAAATCCTTAACTAATCTTTTCTCTTGCAATCCTACTCTTTCTAGAGATGATGTTATTAACTCTATTGTACAATACTTTCAAAGTCTTTTTAATCCTTCTCCTATCGCCTCGGGGAAGTTTTTTCTGCCTGTTGGAGATGCCCTCCCTGGTTATCTTGCAAATTTGCTTATTTCTCCTTTTCAGGAGGGGGAAATAAAGATGGATGTGATGAAAGGTTCTTCCAAATCAGCTTCCGGTCATGATGGCTTTAATTATCACTTCTACAAATCTGGTTGGCACATTATTGGTCCCCTTATATGCAAAGCGATCAATGCTTTCTTTTCTAAAGGGTATCTTCCTAGTGGTATTAAAGCCACTGCTCTTGTTATTATTCCTAAATCTAGCAATGCCACCACTATCTCAGACTATAGGCCTATCTCCCTTTGCAATACTCTTTATAAAATTATAGCTAAAGTGATTACTGCTAGACTCAAACCTTTGATGCCTATCATTGTCAAAGATTCTCAAGCAGGGTTTGTGAAGTCTAGAATTTCTACAGATAGTATTCTTCTTGCTAAGGAGATTCTCTCTTTGGCTTCCAAGAAAGGTGCTCATAATATCTTCTGTGCCAAAATTGATATCAAAAAAGCCTTTGATTCTGTTTCCAGAGAATTCTTAATTGCTAGATTGCATCATAAAGGTTTTCCTAAAGATTTTATCAACTGGATTAAAGCCTGTATCACCAATGTTAATTTCTCAGTGGTTATTGAGGGTGCTTTAGAAGGCTATTTTGCCTCCTCGGCGGGTCTTAGGCAAGGGTGTCCTTTGAGCCCTTATCTTTTTTGTATCGTTATGGATGCCCTTTCTAATTTACTGGAGGAAAGAGGGTTTAAAGGTTTCAATTGTGAGAATTTTCACCTCTCTCACTTGCTTTATGCGGATGATGTACTTATTTTTGGAGAAGCTACTGTGGACAACTGTACTCTGCTTTCTAAGATCCTCAGTGAATTTGGTGAAGCTTCTGGTCTCAAGGTCAACCATGAAAAATGCTCTGTTATGTTTACTAAAAAGCAGAGAAATCAAGATTTGCTCTGCCAAGCCTTATCCATACATCATATTACCTCCAAAATTTCCTATCTGGGTATTCCGATTGCTTTCTACACTTTGAAAGTTGCTGATTTTTTGCCTTTAATGGATAGTTTACATAAAAAATTTAATGGTTGGAAGGCCAATCTTCTTTCTCTTGCGGGCAGATTGCAATATCTCAAATTCACTATCCAAAACACTATTGCCTACTGGATTAGAGGTTCGATTTTGCCTAAATCTGTTTTTAAGGTTTTTAAAAAAACCTGCTCCAGATTCCTGTTTTTTGGTGATATAGGATGCTCTAATAAGATTCATATGGTTTCATGGGACAATGTGTGCAAGCCTAAATCTAAGGGTGGGCTTGGCCTGCCTTCTTTAAATGCTATCCAGTATGCCTTTAATTGCACTATAATTTTCAGGATTTACAATAGTTCCTCTTTGCTGGCTTCTTGGCTTAAATCAACTTACATTTCCCCTTGGAAACCCCCTCCTCTTTCTGTTAGTAAATTCTGGTTAAATATTTGCAATACTGCTTTGTTGGTTAAACAAAATTGCAGTTTTAATATCTCCTCCTCGGCCCCTATAGCCTTGGCTTGGGATCCCTGGTGTGATAATTTTTCACTGTTTGAGTTATTTGGCAGAGAAGTTTTGGAGTGGTTGCCTGATCATTGGCTTAAGAATTATCTGGGGGACAATGGCTGGAATTTGCCTGTTGATTTGCCTTCATCTATTAGGAACACTATTTCTAATGTTCCCATTGCTATTGAGCCTATCACCTGTATCAACTAGAAAGGCAATTCTAAGGTGAAATTTAAGGATTTTCTGGAGGAATTTTACTGTGGCCATTCGGATAGCCTTTGGGAAAATCTTGTTTGGCACAAAAACTATAGTCTTAAGCATACTGTTTATGTTTGGCTTGCTCTGGTTGGTGGGTTAAAGACCCAAGATGCATTGAAAATGCGAAATATTTTTGTCCCTGAGTTATGTTCTCTGTGCTACAAACATCCTGAATCTGTTAATCACCTCTTTTTTGAGTGTGATTATTCCTTTGCTGTGCTTCAAGCCCTCATTCCTGATTTGGCCGGGTTTTTGTTTAGACCCACTGTTCTTCAGATTTTGCAATGGCTTGATTCTGATTATTTGGGCTCTAATCTGTTCCGGGACTGCTTTAAATTGGTGGTCTGTTGCACTCTGTATTACGTTTGGCGTGAACGTAATAGTAGGAGGTTTGTGAATGATTTTCATAGCATTAATACCCTATCTGCTCTATTAAAAGGGTTATAAATATCAAACTGGGTAAGTGGAAAAACAGAGAACTGCTTATGGGTCATTTCTGATTCTGTTACCGTCTAATTGTCTATGCGGTTTTTTGCTGGGAACAGATTATATATTGTGGAAGCTGGAGCTTTGCTGGCTATTTGGAGGATCTTATTCGTAGCCAGGACGATGATAAATTCCCTCTTTATTTCTGGGTCATTCCCTTTGGATGGCCATCTGGCAACCAAGGGAATGCTGCTTTCTCTGCCGGTTTTTTTTCTGAGTCCTGTGCTACTCTGTTTTGGGGACTTTTTTGCTTAGCTGGTTATTTTGGCTGCTATCTCATCATCCTGCCAGTCCTCTCTGTTTCAAGCTATTCGCTTCTGGACTTCGGGAGCTTGCTGGGGCGAATTCGTTTTTGGTCGAACTGCTTCATCCCTTTATGGCTTTGCTGGAACTCATTTTTGTGTTACCACTTCTACTACAGTTCTTTTTACTTGTATTTAGGGTGGTATAGTTGGGGTTTCTGTCTTTTTGACCAACATAAGTTTTTTGTTTTTGCTTATGTTTGGTATAGTTTTTATTATATGTTTTTTCTTGTAATTGCTTCTTTGCTTTATATATAGAAGGGCCTTGGCCCAAAATTTTCCCAAAAAAAAAAAAAAACACAAAATTTAAAATATAATATGCAAACCCCAAGAAAGAGTAAGAATTGAAGTTGAAAGAGCTGCGATCTAAAAGAATAATAATTTTTTTTCTTTACAGTTAGAGAATATTTGAGGGGTCCAAGGGTCCAGCATCGGAACAAAATTTGGTTGTAAGGGAAAGTTTGGAGTTCCGCTTGTTTTTTATTAAATTCATTGTAATAAAATCTTTTTTTTTTTTTTTTGGTTCATGCTAGTGACGTTTTTACACTATGAATTAAATGAGTAAGAAATTTTTTTAAGAAAATAATAATGCAATGCATAATTCATTGCTTTTTATGTACTTTCATCACGCTTTTACTGTGAATATGCATAAAAAAATCACTCCACGTGTCAAGATTTAATTGGAGTCTGAACGTAAAGCGACATCTGAAACACGCATAGAATAATTTCTTGTAGTCTAGTGGATTATTGGTCTAATATCTATTCTGGTTGAATTCTTATTATTGTGCTTGAGCTCCAACTCAGCTCATTACAAAAAAATTTAAGCTTAAACTCATTTGTGATGTTTAACTTTGATTTAATTGCTAAGCCTAATTTTTTTGTTTTAAATTAAACTTTTCAATTTTTTAAAAACTTTTTTTTTAATATAGAATTAAATTTAAAATATTAAAATACATTATATAATGATACTACAACAACAATATTTAAGCCTGAGCATGAACACACTTAGTATATGTGCTCGAGTATAGGCTCGAACTCCAAATATTGGCTCGAAAAACTCAACTCGTAAACTTGTTAAGGAGTCGAGCTGGAATCAGCTTAGCTCACTTACACCCTTATCAAAGAATGAAAGTTGGAAAAAGAAAATAACACCAATAATAATAATAAGATATTCTTATCTCTACATAAAGTTGAAGTATTCCTATAACCTTTTATCATCATGTGTTCTTTAAAGTAAGTAGAATGTTAATTCACAGTAAATTTAATATAATCATGTTGAAGTGATTTTTTTCATCCAAGTTTCTATAATGTTGCCATCTAAGCTATTCTTGAAATTAAAAAAAAAAAATAAAAAATAAAAAATCTCTTATGAGCTTATGTAAGATTAATTGAGTTGGTCAAGATTTTTTATGAATAAAAGAAGCTTGAAAAAACTTAAAATTATATCATTCAAAAATTTACTCAATATGCTAGATTTTTTAACTTAAAGTGCAAAACATTTTATGATATTTCTTTATATTTTATAATACAATAATGGTAGGAGATTATTATTAATATGCTAATCATATTAATTAAACTTTATATAAATATATATTAATTGAGCATCAAATTTCATATTAAAAAATAACAAATAAATAATGCATAAACCTATTGCTAATTAATTTAATGCTATGTATGGAAATCCCAATTGTTAGGAATATTTACATACATAGCGCATAGTTATATATATATAATTACTATTTTTAATATAAATTAAAATGTTAAATATTATATAAATAAATATTAAATAACTAAACCCATAAAAAAAGACCATCCCACTTGTGTGGAAGGCCTAGGGCTTTGACCCCCTAAATTGAAATCAAAGAATATATTCCTATCCAACTAGACCTTAGTATTCTTCGGGTCTTTTTGGTAACAAGTATGATTTGACAAATCATGTACATTCTGAGTGTGTTAAATCCTGAAAACTATTTGATATAACAAATATTAAATCCTATTAAATCTGAGAAATTGTTTGATAACATATGTCATGATTTATGACAGTTATGAATTTAAATGATAAGAAGATAATTGTAAATTAAAATATAAATTTATAATTAAAAAAATGTGCTATGAATTTAATAACATGTTATGCACAAATTATTCATTAATTATAATTTATAATATTAATTATATATTTAATAATATAAGTTATATTAATTAAACTAAGTATATTAATATTTAATTACTATTCATATGCTAATTATTTAATTAAGTTATATTACGTAATTAATTTATGCACTAATTATCTTATTAATTATTTGTTAATTTACTTAATTATTTAGAGGCGTTCTGTTTTCGTTGTAGCTGTTCGGCTTCGTTGCTTCGCAGGTGTAGAGATTGCACGCGTCGCTTCTTCGGCTCCGGCTGTTCGACGACTTTCCCTTCCTGTCGGATCGGAAGTTACGACATTTTGATCAGAAGCAACAACGGAAGCTCGCTGGCTGTGAAGGTAACTTTCTACCTTTCGCGCGCTTCTTCGGCCAAATCCCATAAATCCGCCGAACCGAGGGATTTAGTAAATCCGGGATTTAAGCCGTAAATCGTTAAATCCGGTATTTACCCATTGCCGGGATTTAACGCGCGCACAAAAAACCCTTTAGCTGGATTTAGCGTAAATCCGACTTAAATCCCGTTGTAAATCCGATACCAAACAGCACCTTATGACTTCGGCATCTGCTGCTCTTTCTCTTCTCCCCTCTCCTCTGCTTCGCTTACGTCGTCACTACCGCACGCCTGGTACGCTTCTTTTCTGTTTGTTTTTCTGCAAGGGAAAGCTCCCTATTTCCTTCTCTCGAGCACTTCTTTGAAATTTATTAAGGGATCGGAATTTTTAACATCTGAAGTGCAAACCTTGAAGAAGTCATACTGAAATATGCTATTTTCGTATATTACTTGTTTGACTATTATTTACAGTGATGACATTGATCTGATTTTCTGTGGTTAGTCAGGGGGACGACTTTTTGCGCAGCCATGAGCAGCAACACCACCAGTTCTCCTCCTTCACTGGGGCTGGCGGTGGAAAGTGTGAGTGGCCTTCCGGCCTCCTTGCCAATTTTTTTGTTGCAAGTACATATTTTTCTTAAGTTCTTCATGATCTGATTGATTATCTTATTCCTGAAATTTCAATTTACTAAGATGGTTGCATGTAATTTTTTTTGGTAATTATTTTGATATGTGTTACAGTTGCAGATTGATTTCTATGTCACCCTAGGTCTAGAAGGTGGCACACCAAGACCAAATTTTTTTAATATCTCGGCAATCTACATCAATGTCCTGCTTATATTAGTTTAAATTATAAGATGTAGTGAATGGAGTTCCCTTCTTATTCAGTTCTCTCTTCCACAAACTAGATTTATTTTAGTTATTTATCACTATCATGGAGGTTAATGACGCTAAAGCAAGTTGCTTCTAGCTGGTCCGTTCAATAATCTTATTTGAACACGCTATTTCATACCTTCTTTTTAATTATTTTCTGGAGTTTTCCTGTACTATACTGAACTAGCTTAATTATGTCCACGTAATCAAAATTGGTTGGACTGGTTCTACAGTAGGAGTTTTAGTGAAGTAAGGTTTTTTACACTGCACTTGCAACTTACAAATACCATATCCAGCAGTTTGTGAACTGAACCGCATCGCTTTATCATTTGTTTATATTTACGTTGTACAAATACAGCAACAAAAGTGATGGAGCTGCCTTTCAGTAGATTCTACTTTGCTTTGAATGTGTTAGGCATGTTTAATAATGATATTAATCAACTGTGATAAACGACTAGTCTATGGGGAAACAAAGGCATCAATACATTTTCTTAGAAGCGATACATAATTAAATTTCAGGCATGTGTTTATGGTTTCTTGGCCTCATTGCTTATATGATTTTGATTTCAATTGTAGTTAGAATGTGGTGGACGTACTGGAAGTGTCAAGCAGCAACTAGCAAAATTGTTTGAAGGATCTCTTAAAGTAATATTCCCTGAAGAACCAAATATGGAGCCATTAATTGCAGTCTGCACTGCTAAATTTGGTGATTACCAATGGTTTGATTTTTACCCATTTCTCAATTCTGTGGTTTAAATTCTTAATCTACCATGCCTGCATCTCCATAATATTGGCTTAGTGGTGTTCCTTTGCTATATAATTCTCATATCTTGACCTCATTCATCTTGAAAAGTTGCTTTTATATGATGCAGTAATAATGCCATGGGTATTTTCTCTAAGATCAAAGGAAAGTCAACAGCATTTAAAAATCCAAATTCAGTTGGGCAGGTGCCATGACATTTATGTTTGTGCAATATATCCTGAATCCAAGACAGAGCAATGATATTGTGCTATTTCACTTGATTTCCACTATTTTTACATTGGAAATGATTATTGAACTCTGTTTTGCAGGCCATTTCCAGACATCTCCCTCCATCGAATATTATTGAGTCTACCTCTGTTGCTGGACCTGGGTTCGTGAACATAGTTTTATCAAGCAAATGGGTGGCTCAGGTTTGTTTTCAAGGCTTACATTAGAAAGCAGTTAGAAGTATTACCTAAATCTCGACTGCTATCTGTGTTCTTCATCATGATTAACTAGATTGTTACTGCAGAACATACAAAATATGCTCTTAAATGGTATTGACGCATGGGCGCCAATTTTATCAGTTGAGAGAGCTGTGGTTGATTTCTCCTCGCCAAATATTGCCAAAGAAATGCATGTTGGCCACTTAAGGTCTACTATTATTGGAGACACTCTTTCTCGAATGTTGGAATTTTCGAATGTTAAGGTCTTTCGGCGAAACCATGTTGGTGATTGGGGCACTCAGGTAATTGTTTTGTTGATATGATGTTTAGATAACATGGTGTTATGCTACTTATTCTTTTAGGATGAATTTAGAATGATGTCCATTCATACTTATGTTTTTTGGTTAATCCTTTGGGTTCATAGGATACCATTCTCTTGGCAATTTTATCAAATGGGTTGATTATGTCTTTCCTATAGTCTTAGAAGAATTCTCAGCTCTTCAAGGAAAATGTGTCCTTATTTGATTCACCAAGGATGCTAGTTCTAAAATGGATTTTGGCATGTCTGATATAAAATTTTCTAAAATCAAATGTGGAAACCATTGTACTGAATGACTGTTTAAACACTAGAGGCAGAAGAATGCAGTTCACTTCAAATTTGGCGGAGCTTTCTCCTTTGCTAGGTTGTGTATGCGTGTGATACCAAAAGCTCCATTTTTTTTTCCAGTTATGCATGTGTGACTAACTTTATTTTGATTTTCATGTTTACTTGAGATGATTGGTGAATTTGTACCTCTATAAACCACTAACCTGAACATCTATGTGCGCATGTACATATATGTTATATCCATGATAATTATGTATAATTATCTTTTGCCATTATTCTCACGGTTTTGTTATCCTATATTGAAACATGTCCTAGATATTCTTAGTTCTGATCTCATGTCTTTTTAATATAGCTTATTCTTATCTTGTTCAACATCTAAGGCATGCATGTCTATGTCTATGCTTGTATTTCTAGGTCATGAAATTGTCTTGAAAAACTTGCCATCAGATAGTTCCATAAAAAGCTGCTGGGACCTTTGTTGAAATAAAGTCATTTGTTATTCTATTTGCACTCGCACTCCTCCATTTCTCTCTTGTAAGGATTTGAATCTTAGATCTGTGTTTAGAGATCAAAGGCAATTCCATTCAACAAAGTGATTGGCTGGACACTTGCAATCTCATTGCTTTGTGTTTGAATTTGTTGTAGTGATTTTCATTGTTAACAAGCGAGTTATTTTACAATCTTTAGGATATTAAGTTAGTTATTCTACATTTTTTCATGATTAATTACACCTACTGTATCTTCTCTTGGTTTGTTAAAAAAATATGATTCGCTATAAATGTGAATTCTATTCTTTCAGTCTATTGATTTTTTTACCTTGTCCTTTTAAACCGCAATATGAATTTCTCTCTCTCTCTCTCTCTCTCTCTCTCTCTCTCTCTCTATATATATATATATATGTATAGTGTATTAAATTTTTAGCTTAAATGATAATTTTAGTTATGTTAGTCCTTTATGACATTGACGTAACATTGCTAAATCATTTTAGTTTTCAGTTTTTGAAGGTTTAGGTGCATTTGTAATAATCTTTTAATGTTAGCTGTTAAACCCTTCTATAGTTAGGCATTCATTATCGATTTATTTAACAGGCATGCTTGTATTATTTATTGTTTTGAAGGGTTAAATGTTACATATTTTTGCCTTCTACAGTTTGGCATGTTGATTGAACATTTATTTGACAATTTCCCCAATTGGGAGGATACTGGAGAACAAGCCATCGGAGATCTCCAGGTAACATTGAATTAAATTTCTCTTTTTAAAAATTGAGATTGCCAATTTTGTTTGCCGTTCCATTGTTGTTGATCCTAATCCAAATGAGAACGGTCTGACATGGATAGTAGTATATAGAGAGTTGATTTTTAAAATTTTTGAGATGAATGTTATTGGTGATTGCAAATGTAGTTAGTGCTTGTGCCCTTTTTTGGTTGCATTCTTACTCGATCTTTTGCTTGGTTCATCCTTCAGGAATTTTACAAGGCATCTAAGCGGAGATTTGACGATGATCCTTCTTTTATGCAAAGAGCACAACAAGCTGTGGTTCGTCTACAGGTGTGATTCCACAGTGTAAGCTAGGTCATATCATGTCTAACTCTGCTTTGAAAAGGATGATATGGTATGAGAGGACAGTGGTTCATATGCCATACAATTTTTTTCTCTGTATAAAATAAAATTTTTCGACTTTTTTTTTTTTGTTGGGAAGGGTGATAGTTAGTAGTAGCTTTATTTTATGATTTCCCATAGTAATTATCTTTTGCTAACTTAACTGTTTTTACTTCAAGCATAGGGTGGGGAAGCTAGGTACCGTAATGCCTGGAAGAAGATTTGTGAAATAAGCCGTAAAGAATTTGATCTAGTTTATCAGCGTCTCGGTGTTCATTTAGAAGAAAAGGTATTATTGTGTTAGATTTTTTTTGACCGATCTACTTCATGGAGAATATATGCAATGCTACCATTTTTATAATTGGAGTTGGGTATTTATATTCAAGGATATTTTACCTGATTAATTTTTATCATTTTATCCTCTATACTTCTTGACTAAACAAAATTTAGTAACATTTTTTTGATTGGATTGTAACTTGTATATTTTAAATAAATTTGAATCTTGGAATTGCTGGTTGGTCAAAAATTCGAGATATTTTTTTGTTAGATTTATATGTGTGCAGTTTCAAGTGGATTCTTACAGTGTCCATGCTTCTAACGCTCTGGGGCACTTTTTATGATTAAATATAAGTGATGTTTTGTTTTAATCAAACTTCTTGCATCTCGAATGTACATGATGCATTATGATTCCGTAAGATTTGTGCTCCTCAAAAAAATATTTAGGCATAACGAATCCTCATAAATGGCTTCTCTTGATTTTCTGATTAATTGAGGATTCTATGAGCAAGAGAGGATGATTTTCTTTTATTTGCTTCATTGCAATGGTTGATTTTGTTATTCTTACAAGTACTTTTTCCTTAATTTCCAAATAACGTTTTTCCTGTAAATAGGCGCCATAATATTCTGATGCTATCAAGAATTTATGTACTTTTTATTTTATTTGAACAATAGTATATTTTGTTTTCTATTTTATTTTCTTTTCTTTTTTAGCTATCCAATGATGGGAAAGCATCCAATGATCATGGTAGGTAGTGCATATGGCTTGGTAGACCTTTGGTTTGCTGGCTCGATTGGTCCCTAGCTGCTGGTGGTTCACGGGTTGGCTGTTTTGGAGCATTCGGTTTTGAGCTTGTTCTCTAAATTGCTTGAGCTGAAGTTTAGTAGCTCTTTAATTCTCAAAAGGTACCTCATTATGAAGTTTACTTTTGGAGTGGCCTTGTCCCTTCCCCTTCCCCTTTCTTCTTGTCTCTTGGGAATCCGTGGCTTGTATTAATTGGGGGGCTGAATTCTATGCTTTGAATTCATTGGGAAGTTAATGATTTTTGTGCTTTACCTCTTGGGATCTCACGGCTGGCTCCTTATTCCGTGACCGTTCCTCGTTTCCCGTGGCTGTGGCTCTTGGTCCGTGCGGTTCCCTCGTCTCCCGTGGCTGTCTCCTTGGTTCCTTGTTTGGGTGTTTATCCGTGAGCTTTGGGGGGAGATTTCTATGCTTATTATGTTTTGGTTCTAATGGAAATTAAAGACATGTGGCTCTTGGCATTCCTCTCTCTTGCCTATAAATATGAGAAAATGTTATGAAATAAGGCAGTTGATATTTGTGAGCATATTTGCTATTAACCTGCGGGTTTATTCGGAAATCCTGCGGGCTCTTTCCAACCTTCTTTTTTCATCCCCTCCGGAAATTCTGCGAGCTCTTTCGACCCTTTCTTCTCGGGCTTCTAATCTCTTCGTCTCTCTACAAGTGCCACTCCATCTGTATCCTTCTTCTCAACAGTGAAGCAACTTTAGGGTGTCGTGTCTTGGTTGATTTGGAAGCATTTGGGACAGTCTTGCAGTGGTGGACCATCGGTTTGCTAGTTCTATGCACTTTACTTATTTATCCTACAAATTCGATGCATGTGAGGAACCCGCTCTGACGGTTGTCTGATGATAGCGTTTTTTTTATTTCTTTAAAATCTCCTAGTATCTTTTGTTGTGTTTGTCAAGTTTTGGGTCGTTTGCGTTTATTTAATAAAATTTGTTTTAAATTCTACTCATTGTGTCAGTTTTCTTCTTGTGTGTCTTTTGTGATAAAGAGATATAGGTTCCCTATATCCCTTGTCTACATCATATTCTTTCTTTGATATCTCATTTTGAATATATGAAATTTTTTATACTTCTAAACCTTAATGCTTGGCTATCTTCATATGCTATTTTATGAGATTGCAAATTCAATTTTTTCTCCATGTTTATCTCTATGCGTTTTCAAAGCTGAGCATCATTTTGATAATGCATTCGTTTTTTTTAAGTGGTTTGCACTAGGTGATCTGCTCAAGTTTGGATTGTGTGAGTTTACAGCCTCACCCAAAGCCATATGTATCCTTTTCTAGGTTAGATTGACTCAGCTCACACATATAATTTCATTGAGGCAGATAAAATGGGGATATTCACCCAAAGTTGAGCTACAAATGTCATCAGGTGGGCTTGGGTTTCTGTTGAGCTTCAGGTTAAGAATATTTTCCTAGATCGATACTTAATTTGGGTCAGGTTGATTGGGTTGAGCGGGTCATCTTCATGCCAAGGTCTAGTTTCATCCTAATTTCTCTTAGTGCACATCATGCTATAGGTGGTAACAAAGCTTCACTGCTGCATCCTGCTAGGTCAAGTGATTATCAAAAATCAACTTTGATTTTGAAGTTTCACTTTTTTTATCATCATCAGCTGATTCAGCTCTAATTATTCACCTTCTGGTAACCCACTAACTTGTTTTCACTTAGTTGGGAAAAACACTCTGCATTCTCTTTTAATGTTCTTTTCATCTTCAGCATCATTTTTCATGAATATCAAGGTAAACTTTGAGATTCAGAGTAGACAAAAATATGAGAAAGAAAAAATAGGAAAAAGTGTAAAAAAAGCTCGTGCCTTGATCGATCCTTCAACTTTGGCGATAATTTTTTCACTGTCAGGTACCAGCATCATACTTGACCAACATTTATGTATAGGGTATAATCCCTTGGGTTTATTTATCATCCGAAGACATTGGATGGAATGATCATTTAATTGTTCTCCATGTTTACCACTACTAATTTTTAAATTGTAGGTCATTCAACAGCATTTACTTTTTTCTCCTCCAATTTCCCAGTCTCACAACACTTACTCTCCGTGTTTACTATTTTTTTTTTCAAAATGTACGTCAGTCAACAACATTCGCTTTTCCCCCCCAATTTTCTAGTCTCACGATGCTTGTGTCATTGAAAGGTGGTTTCAAAGCTTCATCAGCATCACTTTACTAATGTTGATGGTTGACGAATGTTTAAAGAAAACGCCCTATGATCTCATATGTCATCTTATTGAAAATGAGGAAATAGAGCTTTCATGTTGATGGTAGTGAGAAAGGCCTTGATACTAAACTTTGTCCTGGTTTTAGTAGGTAAATCAGGAAAGCTAAGCGCCGCCTCTAGGGTTTGTGGTGCCCGAATGAGAAATCAATATAATCCTTGCAAATACGTAGCCTTTTATCACAGTAGAAGGGTTGCATATTCCAATTTATATTTTGAGCAAACAATAAGTGAAGAAATTGTTTAGAGAGAAATTCAAATTCTATTATATTCCTTGGAATCATATATATATATATATATATATATACATTCCAAGAGAATAAATATAAAAAAGAAAGACATTTAATCTAATTAATTATAATAATCATATCCTATCGATCTCCAACTACATCCCTTGGATTACTACCTACGGATCTCCAATTGCAGCCCTCAGATTATTGTCCATGGATCTCCAAGACTCCAACTACAACCCTCGAATTGCAGTCCACAAATCTTCAACTGCAGCCCTAGGATTGCTACCAACGGATTGATGATGTGTCCTCCCCTTGGCTGTGTGATTCAATACTCCCCCTCAAGTTGGGTTGTATAGATTGTAAAATCCTAACTTCCAAACAAACATATCAAGTATAGAGCCCGGTAGTGCCTTTCTTAGAACATCGATAAGTTGTTCATGAGTTGGGGTATATACTACTTCAATTTCTTAGTCTTCTATTTTCATAGATATAACGTTTCTATCAATAGTAATATGTTTTGTTCTGCCGTGATGTACTTGATCTTTGGCCATACTGATATCAGTTCAATCAATACTTGTCTGATCCAAATACCTTGACAAATAGTAATTGTTAATGCTTTATGTTCAGATTCTGCACTACTTCTGAAAACTACAGATTATTTCTTGCTCCTCCATGTCATTAGGTTCCCCCACACAAATGAACAATTTCTTGTGGTTGATCAACTATCAACATGACTTCTTGCCGAATCTGCATCAAATTAAATGATCAATTTTCAACCATCATTTTTCTTGAATAATAGCCTTTTTCCAGGAGTGTTCTTGAGATATCTCCAGATTTGATATACTGCCTCCATGTGCTCCTTCATAGGATCACTCATATATTGGCTTACAATACTCACAACAAACTCAATATTTGGATGGGTTTGGGAGAGGTATATAAGCTTTCCTGTAAGATGTTAATATCTTCCTTTATCTATTAGAACTCCATCAAATTCTATCCCAAGTTTGTAGGATCCATAGGTGTACCGGTTGGTCTGCATCTTAGCATGTCGGTCTCCTTCAACAGGTCTAAGTTATACTTGCATTGTGAAATGCATATACCTTTGCTTGATCGAGCTACCTCTATACCAAGGAAGTTTCTAAGTGATCTTAGATCTTTAACTTCAAACTCCTTGGACCAAGCCTGATTGATCTTCATTATTTCGTCTATATCATTTCCCGTAAGGATGATGTCATCCACATATACAATTAGTACTGCTACCTTATCTCTTTCTGACTGCTTCACAAACAAGGTATGATCTGCCTGGCAGTGTTTAAAATCATAACCATTTACATACTTTAAAAATCTTCCAAACCATGCTCTTGGAGGCTGCTTTAATCCATGCAAGGTTTTCAACAATTTACACATTTTATCCCTTCCATAAGACTTCTGAATCCACATTGGAATTTCCTATGTAGACTTCTTTCAGGTTCCCATTCAAGAATGCATTCTTGATATCTAGTTGATGTAGGGGCCAATTTAAATTTGCTGCTAAGTAAAGAAGAATCCTGATGGTGTTGAGTTTTGCAACAGGAGCAAAAGTTTCCCGATAGTCTATTCCATAAGACTGAGTGAATCATCCACCTTATGCTTTACAGTGAACACCCATTTGCAAGTCACAACTTTCTTTACTGGTGGGAGTTTGTAATCACCCATATTTGATTTTTTTCCAATGCCATAATTTCTTCTTTAACAATTTG